TCACGCTCATAACTGTACCTGATCTACAACAGGGAGCTGCTGCTTTTTCTTCCCTAATCCTTACTATTGTCATTTCCTCTACTTCTTTTGTATGTTTTTCACTCTCTTGTGACCTGCTATTTCCAGAGTGCCTTGATAGTTGAAACAGACCTTGTGCTGTTGAAACTAGAGAGGTGAGCAGAGTAAGTCTGATTCCCTGTAAAGACTTCTCTGTTGACACCCACCTCTTGGTGCTCATATGACCTTATGCAGTTGCGAGCGCCGTAAAACCCTCTACTATAAAAAAACGAAAATAATCACTTAGAAGCCGAGTTCAAATAAATAAAACATTTTTTTCGGACCCGAGTTCATATAGATAAAACCCATATTCGGACTGAAGTCCGAATAGATAAGAAATCTAATTGGGCTTGAGTCCGAATAGAGCTGGCCTTTTAAAAAAAAATTATTCTAAGTTAAGTCAAGATCCTGCTGTTTCCGGGAAACAGAATTTTTATGTTACAAAAAAAGTAAAAGTGATCTCCAGTTGTGTCACAGACTTGTCACAGATAATATACTCCTTAAATGCGATCATATCTTCATTGTAAACCTTGATGAGTGGGTAGATATTTGCCCTAGACAGTATCAGGCTGGGGTGTGAACTTGTTGATAACAGTTTGTTTTCAAATGTCATGCTCGCATAATTTAATCTTACTTAATTACTTACTTGGTTGGAGAATAGACATCATTGCAGGCGGCACAATGCCATAGCTGCTCCTCCCTCCTCTCCAAGATCCATGAAAGGGTCTGCCTGCTGATCATGCCAAACAGCTGGTTGGATATTCTTCTGGCTTTTCCACGCAGGTTGCTGATTGCCTGGTGCCGCCAATCTCAGCCTGGCCGGCTAGCTTAGTAGCACGTTCATTACCTTGAACTCCTGTAATTTGATCCCTAAACCATACCTTAACATCATCATACACTGGATGGTAGTGCCTCAACATCAGATGGGAGCACACCGTACTCTGAACTCTTTTGAGGATTTTGCTTCCCTGGCCATAGCAGTTGTCTTTTTTCTCTATGCTCATGTATGCTAGACAAACTGGATTTTAATTGTTAGGGTCACAAAACAATGGCGTTTAACGACATGAGCAGGGAACTTGGTCAGTATCTTTCCTCTTACCGGTATTTATATCTCCTTTGAATGATTTCTTTTTCATCTTAGAATCAAGGAGGTAAATAGGATGCAAAGTGGTAGCTGAGTTGTGCCCCCCTGAATCTGCCTGGAATAACTTAAATGGAATCAGAACCCGGTCTGCTTAGGGGCCCACTTTTTTGTAACACCACCTTCTTTCAAAAAATGTTCTTCCTTGTGCTTCTTTCCAAAGTGTGTGGGGCCCAGGGTACAGTTAAAGTTATGATTTACAACATGACTGAGGGCTGGACCTGCATAGTTAGATATATGGTTTGGTTAGATAGGGTAATGGGGCTTGCCTGTGCACACTTTATCTAATAGATGGTAATAGACCTAGTAGGCTTTGCTTAATCAGTTTGATTTAGAAGTAATGAGGGCCTACTGGTGTTGCGTTCCATTTACACAAAAAAAGAACTGACTTCACAATATGTGGCATGTAGTTCCCTTGTTATTGGCTTGTTGGCTGTGGTTTTCATCTAATGTACTTGATCGTAACCTTATAAACTCAAAAGTGTTTGATTTTGGCGGAATAGATCAAACAGTGTCAAAATGGCAGCTTTTCCCTCCATGAAGGAAAATTTGAAAAGTAGATCAAACCCAAAGAGGTTATATAATACCAGAGCTTGCAGAAGTGACGTCAAACGTGTCAGACATGGGGGACCTTCTTACCCTCATCAACATGGCCGACGTGCCCCCATATGAAGAATCTGAGCCCCCACCCTGCTCCCCACGAGTTCTAGTACTAGTATATTAACTCTGTAAATCCTGAGTTTTTTCCACCGTTTCCCGGAGTTTTTTCTACAGTCACCGGTCTCATTATAACCCCGAAAGCTTGCCTCCAACTTCTAAATGGCAGAAACAAATGCTTTGTCATTATTAAAGGACTTGGTTCGGGAATAGTTCAGAAAAACAAGCAAAAACTAGCTCTAAATAAAACGAAAATGTTGTCACTAGTATCGGACGCTCCCAGCGTCCAGCCGGGAACAGGATTATTACCGCCGCCCAGCGTCCGATCGGGTTTAAAGAGTTAAGCTCCACCCTGCCCCCATATTTCAGTGCAAGCTAGTAGATTTTCTCCTAAGACCGCCGAAATGCCTGCACATGAGTCTCAAAAAGTACTCACCTGTCTGTTGAACTGCTCATGTCTTTCCCTTGAGGTTCAGTGTCCAGGGTGGGCACACGCAGCCCCCATTTGTTTACGTCAGGGACATCACTACCACAAACTCTAGCACTAAATAAAACCTCTTTGTTCAAACCATATCAAATAAGGATTGAACAGAGATTTTTGCAGTGGGCACAGGGTATTATATCTTATTCAGTCTCCACTGGCGCCTTGCTTTTTTTAAACCTAAGATGTAGTAGGCCTTTCTTTTGTACTTTATTAATGCAATTCTCTAACTAATATTTTTTCAGGTACGCAAAGGGATTCGGACTGGTGGAAAAGATCTTCTCCAATACTAGCATCGTGAATCAACCAAACACAGTGTTTGGCCTGGCCTTTTACACTTTTCAAGCTAGTTTAGGTTTGTTTTCTAATATTATTTTCATTTTTTTGTCAATTAATAACAAATGTTGCATAGCAATAGAAAATTGTAATTATTGAATACTAGCTGGGCCCCCTTTCGATGAAAGGAATGATCGGTGCATTAGCATCAACTGAAAGTCATTTAATTCGCCTACTTTATTTACACTGTACTGGAATGGAGCAATAAATCGGGAGAGAAAAGTGACACGTGTGTTTCCAAGTTGCCAAATAAATAATAGATGTATAGATTGATTCTCTATTCATTCATCTTTCGTGGTTGTACACTCCAGAATTTCAAAGGTGCGCACGGCAAGTGAACGGAAACCTCACTTGTTTACAATGGCATCTTAGAAGTAGAAGACAGACTTTTCCCAAGATTAGATCTAAAGGAAACTAATAAAAAAACTGAAAATTAAACTACAGTGACTTCAGGCTCCTCAATAAAACCAGAGAGTTTACAGTAATACTAGAGAGACGGCACTTCGCTCGGATGCGCATATCTGGGTCACCAGCTGATCATGGAGAAACCCACGGTAAACAAAACAAACAACTTTCATTGTTCAAGGCATTTTCGTTGATCACAGACAAGCATGGCCCCGGTTAGCACGAAATGTCAATGGTGTTCTGCTATAAATTACTGCACCTATTAGAATCAAAATCTGAGTTTCTTTCGATTTCCAAAGGACGACGAATATATTTTGATGAATAGAAAAATATAGATAAAAATAGTGACAATGTGATTGTGGTCCTACCAGACTGACACTCTATGTACAAACTCTACACACTTCAACTTTGTTATATATCAGCTATAAATTGGTGTGTTTTTTTTCCTGTCTGAATGGCCAAATTGAGCTTGCATTCTACTAGTGAAAGATATGTTACCTGGGTCTGCGAAAAGATGTCTAAATACAAAGTGCCATCGATCGGTTTTGCTACTTTCTTTGTCCGATTACCACTTTTCTTTTTTTGGGGGGGTGGGGGATGGGGGGTGGGATGGGGGATAGAAGGTGCTAGGAATCCCATTAAAGACTTTAAGTGGTAGATCTATCATTATTGCTTCATGTGCTTTTCCATGATCTGAAATTGTGAGAATTTAATATATGTGTGTGTGTGAGTGTGTGTTTGTGTGTGTGCGTGCGTGTGTGTGTGTGTGTGTGTGTGTGTGTGTGTGTGTGTGTGTGTGTGTGTGTGTGTGAGATAGAGAGAGAGAGGCAGACAGACAGACACACTGATAGACAGAGCGAGAGGGGTTAAAAAGAGAAATAGAGAAAGAGGGGGAGAGAGAGACAGAGACAGAGAAACAGATTGACAGACAGACATACAGACAGAGCGAGAGTGGGGAGAAAGAGAGACAGAGAAAGGGAGACATTATAGAGAGAGAGAGAGAGAGAGACAGACCGACAGAGAGGGAGAGAGAGATGACAGAGGGACACTGGAGAACGAGTAGATTTGCTGAAAATTAAACCGATTATTCCTTTAATTACGGTGATATTATTTTTTCAGATCTATAGAGACGAAGTAATGTATCTGCGTCTATTTGTTTATTAGAATGTATGTTAACTTAAGCCCAAAACAAATTATGGTAGGCCTACTTTTTTGTATATATATATTATGTAACAAGGTAAAGATTATTTTGATTGTGCAGAATTTTTTATTATTTTTATTTCATCAGTTTCATTTTATCAAGGATTTCCAGTTTGAATTGTGTTTTGTAACACATTTTTGTGGTTTTTGGTAAAAAAATAAGTTTAAAAAATCACTGCTGTGGACAATTCTAAAATAAGATATTATTATTCAGATTCATTATAAATGTATATCGCTGGCAAGCTGTTCAGATGTCTTAAACCAGAAAGCAAACTCTTTTCAGGAGAGAAAATTCTGTTCCAATTCTTTTACATGTACCGGTACTAATTATATGATCCTGACTTAGGTTTTTTTTGTCTTTCATTGCCTTTTTCAACATATAAAGAATTTGCATTTTGAATTAATATTTAAGAAGTTTAATACAGTCGGTACAGCATACAGCAACCTGTTATAAAAAATATGTCAAAGTTTTGGAAGCTAGAACATCTGATCCCCTCCAGGGCAGTGTTACTGACTGAAGTGTCTTTAGGCCATTCCCAAAGGGGGGCTATTAACATGTTTTTGTGCACAGTAGAATTGTAAATGTGCTCATTTATCAACAATGTCATGCTCGTACCGTGCTGGAACAGCATAAGGAGAACTGCTGCTTTTTCTTTCCTCATCCTTACTATCGTCTTTTTTCCTCTACTTCTTTTGTATGTTTGTCTTGTGAACTGCTATTTCGGGGGTGCCTCGATAATGGAAGCAGACTTTGTGCTGTTGAGGCTAGAGAGGCGAGCGGTAAAACCTTGCTAAAACAAACAAAGAACATCTGAACAGCTGGCCACCAATATATGCCATGCATCAGTTGATGTTTAGAGTCAGTTGTGTTGTAGGCTTATAGCTAGGATATCTTGAAAAAAAAAAGAAACTTAAAAAATCTTTAGTGTTTTGATGTGTATGCATACAGTAGTATAGTCATAATAGTATAGGCTATATATAATCTACAATGCATGTCTCGAAATAACAGTATAGAATATATACAATGTATGTCTTGAAATAATTGTTTCTTTCGTCCAATTTATATACTTTTTTGTCTGTTTTTTCGAACCAGCGACCCGCTCATCCGTTCCTTCAGCACTAGGTCTCACAGTGGGAAGTGCCTTTGCTAATGTTGGGTCAATATACTTGGGCTACATTCTGGCGTTCGTCCTGAAAGATTTCTGCATTGTTTGTGTTTCGACGTACGTTGTGAATTTCCTTTTGCTGGTGGCCAGTGCGTTGAAGCTGAAGGAAGCAGCGAGAGCAGAGATAAAGGAGATATCAAAGAAGAAGAAATGAAACAGTTTAAGGGAAGCAATTGTGGCCTTGGTGGAGGTTGAGACTATATTCAGTTTTCTCTTTTTTTTCTGAGTCTGTGTGTTTTGTGTGACTGAAAACTTTTTGAAGAGCCTGAACTTGCATTTTTGAAAGTCGTCAAAGGTAGTAAAAGATATTGTAGTTAGTTTCAGATGTGTTACTGTTATGTGTGATCAAGCGAGCTATAAAACTTTGTGAGATATGGCATGTACCTTGTATGGGCTTGAAATAAGGATGTGCCTTGTGAAGAATGTCATCTTATTCTAAGATAACTTGTAATGTAGAGGTCAAAAAGAGGAAACAGCAGACGCTTAATAAAAATAAAAGGTATGTCATGTGATTAAAATTAAAACATAATAATAATTTGGTGTGTGTTAAGTTACACTTACTCACAACAGTTGCAGCTTTACCTTGTTTTAAAAAACATTTTTTTACGTATATTAACTATTTTATAAGTATGAAGGCTTTAAGTTGGATGTACCATTAAAGAAAAAGATTAAATTTGTTAATGTAATGATTACATCCTCATTTTGATAAGAAGAGTATTTACTTTCATTAGCTGTTTGCTGTCCTAAGATAACATTAATTTTGTATTCTGTTGAGCAAACTGATATAATATCTACTCAGGCTCTTCTTTTCTGGAATGCTTGTTATTTTAAAAAAATAGTTATTAGATTTGCCATTGTCTGATGTTAGTACTGGTATCAATAGTCAATAGTCTAGACTGATACAACTACTAAGAGCATACTCTAATTTTATATATTCACCTAAAGGAATAAATATCAGCACTGTCTTGTGTTGAAGACATTAATATAATGGATCATATTATACCTTATTGAATCATATTGATATATATATATATGTGCCTACATCAAAGTCAGAATGTTAGTAGTAGTAGTAGTAGAGTTGCCACAGCTGATCTAGTGTAAGCTTTACATTAATTGCTTTTCTCACAGAAATGTTACGCAGAGTATAACTTAGGTTATGTTTTTGTCTGGTCTTGTAATGGCCAGAGGCTCCACAGCATATATATATGTGTCACGACGCGGTGGAATCAGGCGCTCCTCAATTTTGGGGCATGATTTATTGGCAGTTTTCAATGAAATAGATACCAATCTATCCTGAAAACAAACAACTCAAGCTATTTGCGATTGAAAAAAGTGAGGTCGCCTGGTTTCAGTGGTGAAACTGGCAAGAAAATGGCGCCAAAGCTTTGTCACTCCAATAGCTAAAGAGTCCTTGAAAGCAAAAAAATGACATATTTTGTTCCTTTATTCAATGTTTTTCAGTAAAACTCTAATGGAAGTGTGTTTTTATAAGGACAATAAAAGAGGTTGAGCCAAAAATAAAAATTCGATAAGAATTTCCAAACTGGCGGAAACATGCCTGTTTCTCCGATTTCTGTATTTTGACAAGCGCCTGATTTCACATGGCTGCTTGATTTATTTCCAACTTCTTGTTTTGAATATGATGTGAGTTGGAGTTGTGAGCCAGGATAATTGAATCAAAGATGGACTCTTGGCACATTGAGTGATTCACATCCTGAAGGCCTTTTAGTTTAAGCTTAATTAGAATTAGTGATAATTACTGTAGTTATTGAATAGTCATGATATCTTAAGTCAAGGCAGAGTAGGGAAAAGACGATATTGTAAAATTGTGTTGATCATTTCATGAGAGTTACCAACTCAATTATCATGAATTTGGCAAGTGGCTTAATTTGGTGGTAGTGTTGAAAAAAAAAATAAAGCAATGTAGGGCCTACAGTATAACACGGATAGTTGGAAGACAGAAGACTCGAAATCACACATCTGTGGAACAGTGCCTGCGGTCCGGTTTTTTTTCTCTTCTTTATCTTTGTAAAATATATCCCTCGAACTACCGAGGCCGGTCCCAACAAATTTGAGCTATCTGTGTTTTTTATACTGTATTTTTGTTTCTTTATAATATTGTTAATAAATGAATAGTTCTCATCTGAGGCAAGTCCAGCAAAATTCCAAATTGATGTGCTTAGCTGACAACATGTCTCTCTCTCTGTCTGAGTTGGAGACATTGCACGTTGCAATTTCCTATTTCCGCTACTGTTATTCAGTCAAAGGTGTAGTTTTATTTTGTTATGCGACCGCTACTGGTCAGTGGTAGATCCTACTACACTACTACAGTCAAACCTTCCTAAAAAACCTGTCCAAGAAAATCACCTGTACAAATGACCACTTCCCAATTGGACAGGTTTGACTGACTCTTTCTTTACTTTTCTGTTTCTGTCATGTCTATGGAGTCTATGGATCTGGATCTGTCATAGCACCAACCAAGTGGATGTTGTCACATCTATGTGCTATTCTTTGCTCAAACTATTTGTACTGTATACTAAACCTGACTGCTCGGGTGCTCTGGTGCGGTTTGCTCCTTCTTTCCTATCAAACATCGATCATCCTTATCTCTCTTCCTTTATTTTTGATGTGTTCCTCTCTTGTGTCACATCGATTCTTCAGCCCTTTTATGACCTTATTGTGTTGCAAGTGCCGTAAAACTCTTTGCGAATTTAACTAAACCTGTCGGAAAGAAAATACATAAAGGACTTTTCTATTGTATGTTGTCCAAGATAGCCTACATTCGTTATGAAATATAAGAGTAGATTTTTGTTGTAACAATTACTTTGACAAAGCTATTGCATACATATTTCATGTATGGAGTGCCTGGCTTGTTAAATTATGTATTCCTTCCTGGGCTTCATTGTCTGTTTTGTCACTCTCATGGTCTCCAATATTTCAGTATGCACTTGGTATGCAATAAGTAAAAAGAAAGTAGACTGGGAGAGAGAAAGAGAGAGAGGACTATTTTCTATGATCTTTTACTGAAGTTTATATGTTTTATTGGAATATGTGGTGAACATACACGTGTGTAATTAATAGAAGTATTTTTCATGCATCTCAGCTCAGGACTCTATTATTATTTTGACTTTTGTCTTCTCATCATAGGGTATTAACTTGATTGATGGTATATTTGTGTCATGATGCGGTGGAATCAGACGCTCGTCAATTTTGGGGCAAATGGAGTTATTGCCATTGGTGATAACTCGAAGCCAGTTACTTTACCTTGCTGTTGACGAAAAATATATGGAATGTACTTTCCTGTTGATGGGACAGTACATTATGAAGCCTATGTATGCAGGGACAGTACATGTTAGCCTTATGCAGTTTGAAACTTTTCTCCTGTACACTCCTCAATCTCAATATGGCATGTATTTATATTATTACGGGGCCATATTATTGATATTATCAAGGGAAGAGTCTAGATTTCCTTTTCTGATGTACACTTGATCTTTATTTCTGTCTGCCCCGCTCTCAATATCAGTCGTAAGTCGCACTGTGCTATTATCAGCTTCGTTGAGGCTCGAAAGGCAAAAAACTGACTTTCCTTCAAATTTTTGTTTTTTGGATATAGTGAAAGTTTGATGTCTTCTGCTTCATTTAATATAAAAATAAACAACTATAATCAACTATAAATATTTTATTTTGATTTATTTTGGAGGTGTGTGTGGTTTATTGTGAGCTTGGGTGACGAGATAAAGGAATTTGGACCTTGCTAGTGTGAAGCTGTGAGATTATTGTTTGAACCATTACCTCATGGCCACCTTTGCTTCAACCAAAGATTTTCCATTGCTCCAACGTTCTTCATTCGCAACTATTTTTAGATTTTGACCCCTTTACGAGCATGAATGGTCTGAAATGTAAACAACTCTGATTGGTAGTAAAACGGAGTAAAAATGGTACATGTACCTTCTAGCTCACTTCAAGCTTGTTTACGTAAACAGCTGACTGTGCGGGCGTGCCCTGCTAGCTGCTATCATCTGTTGATCTTTCAGTTTTACACTTGAATTGACTTTAAAAATTTGTTTTTATTGTGTTTTGGAGCTTTTAAAAGATTATCCTTCCTCAGAGCAGATTCCTTACCTAGGGGCCACCGAGGCGGTCTATGTGCATGTGTGTATGTGTGAGTGTGTTGGTGTGTTAATATGTGTGTGTGTGTATGTGAGAGTGTGTGTTTGGGCTCTCTGTGTTTATGGAGCTATTGCAAACATATTATAATCAGGTAGCGTAAACACAGCACGTAAGCCAACTTGCAACTTTCCAAGCGCGTGGTTTCGGTGAAATGGGGGTAATTCAGATCTGTTTCTTTGTTCTTTTGCTATAGAACACCAAATGCTGAACACTTTGAAAAAGTTCAGATTTTCTTTGTTATAATATTGCAAGTTGTATATTATATCCGGGTATATGGAGCTAACACGGCACGTAAGCCGACTTGCAGCTTTCCGAGTGCGTGGTTTCGGTGAAATGGGGGGTAATTCAGATCTGTTTCTTTGTTCTTTTGCTATAGAACACCAAATGCTGAACACTTTGAAAAAGTTCAGATTTTCTTTGTTATAATATTGTTAGTTGTATATTATATCCGGGTATATGGAGCTGGAGAATCGCCGTGGAAAGGGAATCCCCTCGCGGTTGGAATGCGAGGTCCCCCGGTTCAAAATTGACACCCATGCATTCGAATGCGTTGCAGAAAGATCAATGATTAAATACTGTCTTTTCATTGGTGGAGAACCATACAGCATTGAGCGTGGTTTCCCATGGTTATTATTTTTTACCTTTGGCATTAAGATAGAAAACCTTGAAACGACAATGAAACAGGGTCTAAGTTTTCAAAGATCATTTTTAACACGAAATGTGTAAAATACCGGCTAAAGAATTTTAAAAGGTACCAATAGAAAGAACAGTTCTTTTTCTATTAGAATAAAGTCATTGGCTTGGAATTATTATGCGTGAATCCTTCTGCGAAACTATCGGGAGAACTCAGTATACTACAGTATTGAGCCGGCTCGCTCGCTGTGAATGTGAAGGCTGGTGCGATGCCGGCCGAGACAACGCTCGGTGTATTTATTGAAATAACGACAGATCATCGTGTTTGAGGCAATAAAACGCTGATTTGTAATGATCTCAGTCTTGAAAAATATTAGGCTTAATTTCTATGTTATAGTGATTGTACTCTTTTAATGTAGAGATGTTTGGTGCACTTGGTACTCTATTACTATCTGTCAAACATGGGGTTGCAGCCAGTTAACGACTTCAGCAATATTTGATTATTATGTTAAATTGAAACAGCTGCCATTGTCTTAAACATTGACTGAGAGGTAAAAGTATGGTACCAAAATTCTCAGGAGACAAAGGCCTTTCATGTGAAACAGATGAATTTGACATACAGCTACTTTGAAAATTTAGTGTCTGGTACCTAGTATAATGCTAATATTTCGTTGCATTCCATGTGAAGTCCATTCTCGTTAAAATTTTGTTTGGTCCATAAGTTTTTTCTCTGAGAATGAATAGTTTTCTACTTTTGTATGTTACCTTGTAGTGGCATAGCCAAGATAACTGCTAAATTTCAAGTCTCTTTCTCAATTTTAAGACCCCCATTGCTATGGAAACATGTTGCTCAACTTCGGAGGCCATTTTCTCCTTTTCGTGTTTCTTCACCTCGCACAATTAAAAGTTCTGTATTTTCGCCAAATATAGTCATATTTACTTCATTCTTGTTTTCAATTGTAGGGAAAAAGGGATACTTTTTAAAAATAATGTTAACTCAGTTTTGAAATTTCCTTCATATGACTGATATTGACCGGCAGGGACACATTTATATGATTTTTGTGACTTTATTTTTACACTCAGTACAATTGTTGCCTGTCACTGTGTGTGATTCAAATTTTTCCCTTTTTGAGTTGTGAAATGAGGAAGCTGCAGTGTCAGCTTGAATTGGTAGGCCAATATTGGGTAGGACAGAGGTGTGAAACGGGCATCTTTCGTGTTTGAGATTTGATGTTGGGATGTTTATTCAATAAAAAAAACAGTGACAAAGTGAAAAAAAAAAAAAATGATCATTAAAAAATGATCATATTTACGAAGACTGTGCTTTGATGCTTTTTAAAAAGACTGTAGGCCTATTTATGGTATCACATATCTCTTTGCAAACAGCATGACATGTGTTCGTAGGCTTGAATGGGAGAGAGGTGTGGTCGTATATGTACAAATGTCAGACTGCATCAAATATAAATTGTTTTGTACACCAAGTACATTTTTTCAGAGGTAGCTGCATCAAATAAAAAAGTGCAGGATTTCTTTAAGATTAAGATGTTGAGGATAATTTCATTCTTTGTCAGAATTTTAGCTGATGGTTATTATTACAATTATTTCTATTCTTTTCTTGTTATTTTTATCTTGCTTTTTCCCTGCACAAAATGATTGTTATTGTGTCACTGTGCCTCACTTCTTCTTCTTCATGCTCCCTAGTAAGATTTCAGGAGTACTGGACTGCTGGTTCATCAACCGGCAGTGCAAATGATTTTTACGTATGTGGCAGTTTTTCCTACTTGGTAGGGACCCTCACCTTCTGGCAGCCACATTGCCATTTCAAAGGTACTCTTATACTGACTAGAGTACCGGGTATTTTCAGATTTGGTAGGAATTAATTTTGTATTTTGCCAGCGTGGCGCCAGGAGTAGCATTAGAAAGAGCCAGCCATCTGCAATTTAGTTCTCTTAGAAAGTTATTCTTGGTCTACCTAGTGGCGTCGGTAGCCTAGTGGTTATAGGGCTACCGGACCTGTAATTGCAAGATTGCGGGTTCGGGGGTTCATGCCTCAGCTTGGTCCAATATCGTGTCCTTGGGAAAGGCATTTTACATGAATTTCCTATTTGGCTTGGTCCTTTTGGAGACTGTAAACTCTGAGGTCCTGCCTCTTACACAACCTAATAGTGTTGATAAAGGCATTAAACCTATACCATTCACTATTTGGTCTACCTCTGCCTCTTCTGCGGTTCGATTTCACACCAAGATTTTCCTGCATCTCAACTTTTTGCAAAGTGAGCCTGCCTCTCTGTTTCTGTTATATGAACTACAACAATTTCTGGGCTAATAGCCTCTGGTTTATAGAACTGCTTGGAGAAAATATAAGTTGTGGTGGCTGCCAATAGCTGAGTATACAAATAACACTACACCTTGAAAGACATCAGCTTACCACTACATTTTCACACGACTAAAGAAGCAAACAATATACAGCTGAAGTCTTTCAAGATACAATGTAGAGGGTGGTGTTTTCATCAAACAGACAACAAGAGGAAACATTTTTCTCTTTCTCTTGTGCTTCATTTCTGTCTGGATCTGTAATAAACCTTTTAATAAGCTTCGGTTAAATATTCAAGAAAATAAAACAAACTGTTACTAGTACACTTTTCATCATGGTTTCTTTATTTTTTTCTTCACGAGTTTCTGAGGCCCAATGATCTTGAATGTGGTTCTGTGGGGAAAAAGAAAAAGCGATGATGAAATACGTCATTCACTGTTCCTGCTCAAACACTTGAGTCTTATTAATCAAAAGACTACCCAATTTATCTTAAGCAGCAGCTCAATAATAGGCAACTGCTACTAAAAAACGCTAACGTCAACATAAATGATAAATGTGAATTTGTTCCTTCCCATTTCCTTTCAACAGTCTGGTCTTTCGAGGAAGTATAAACCCAAGTAATATCTATACTTTGATTCTACCTGGGGGGGGGGGGGGGGGGGGGGGGGGACTTCAGTTTTCAGCCAACCAGTCAAACCCTGTAGAATAATACAATTGTCCTACAAGCCCCAAAATTACCCTTGGACAAACAGTTGATTACACACAATTTTTCTCTCCGAGATGACATCTATGAACAGTTTTCCGGTTATTTTCACAAAAAGAAGCAGTTGCAATTCCACAGGTCAACTATATAGGACTACTAATAAAACTAAAGTAAAATATACAGGAACTACTAGAGGTCAACAGCTTCACTCAATTTAATTATTACATCTTTGAGTTCCTGTAAGGAAAAAAGAGTAGGGGTTGGGGGTTACATCAGCGATTGTGGTAAAAGGCTTTACTTCGCTGACTGAAGAAGACAAGACTTGAGTTTGTTTTAGTTTTAGTAGAGGTTTTTCGGCGCTCGCAACTGCATAAGGTCATATGAGTGCCAAGGGGTAGATGTCAACACAGAAGTCCTTACAGGGAATCAGACTTACTCTGCACACCTCTCTAGCTTCAACAGCACAAAGTCTTCTTCCACTATCAAGGCACCCCGGAAATAGCGGGTTACAAGAGGGTGACAAACATACAAAAGAAGTAGAGGAAAATGACGTTGGTAAGGATTACGACAGAAAAGGCAGCAGTTCCCTGTTGTAGTTCAGGCACAGTTATGAGCACGACATTGTTGGATCAGCCCATTTACAATTCTACTGTGCATTAACACATTACACCCTAAGGGTCTGGACGGAAGTCTATTGTTAGATCCTAAGCAAGGGGAAAGAACCCACCTCCCGTGAATACAAGCCTTTATAAAACACATTTTTAAAATACTAAACAAATTCCAAAAATCCTGAAAAAATACAAGTTAAAACGAAAATTTAAAGTAGTTTGAGAAAAATATAACTTTATGTATGCGCAAACAGTTGGAAATGTTCTAACTTTACTTCAATCGGGGTGTCCGACCCGTCACTCTCACTCTCAGCCTGGCGGTTGGGCCCTAGATCTAAATTCTAGATTTTCTACGTCTGATCAATCTGAATCGCCCCAAACTCTTGCTACAACGTTTTCATCAAAATCTGAGTCATCTGATTTGTCATATGCTTGTTTTTGCTCAAATCCATCGTTATTTCCTTTTTCAAACTCAATTGTGTCGCTTTTCAACAAGTTGAGACACTTTCGAAGTGTCGGTAACATGATCGCACTTCGTTCGGCTCTAATACTAAAACTACTGACTGGCAGAGACTGGCCTGAAAAATTTCGTTTCGGTATCAAACGAAAGAAGAAACTTTTTGCAATAACTATGCAAATCAAAATCTCAGCCCCAGAGTCTCATCAAGGTGAGACTTCGTTCTAAAGACCAAGACGCTGGGTTGGTGCGGGCGGTTCCGGGTGAGTCAGGGTGGAGCACGTAAGGGAATTCCCGGGCAGTCCCGGACGAGTTAGGGTGTAATGTGTTAAAACGAGAAATGTCCTCCCTTTGGGAATGGCCTAAAGATACTTCAGTCAGTGGCACCGCCCAGGGGGTAGACTTAAGTTTGCATTCTCAAGTAGGGAAGTATTCCATAAATTCCGCTTTAACGGGACAGCTCTCATTTCCCTGAGTTTCAAGATCCTGCTTTCGAGAAATCGGCAACACCGCTTCCTGTTTGAGCAATTAAGTTTCTTTTCAAAGAGAATACAATAAGCTATTCAGTGCTGGGTTGAAGCAGAAAGGAATTGGGAATCCGTATTGTGAACTTATTTGAAGAAAAGAAGTGTGAATGAATTTGAAGCAGTTTGTGAAGTGAAATTTTTGAGCTGATCGGTTTCAGCCACCAACATCACGAATAGGTGCTCCGGTGAAAGGTCAGACTTCAAAGTTCAAAGGGTTAAACTGTTTAAAATGAAAACTGAGATAAAAACATGCATTATAATAACTATAGAAGAATATGAAGACTTACTGGCATGTGGAGCAAATGGGGCTGAAGGAGCAGTAAACTGGAAAGAAAGAAAAGTAAGTCTTGACAAATACACAGCTTAGTATGGTGGTGGTGGAGGGGGGGGGGGGAGCTGCAAATGAACATGTTATGATTATCATTACACACATATGACCTCAACTCTAACGCAAAAAGGACTAGTTGAAGAACATCTGAGCCTTTTCCAATGATCCCAATCACATAACTTTACAAGTATATATATATATATATTTATATATATATATAAAGAACTTCCATTATAAATGTCAGCACAAACACTGTAAACAGAACTGATTCATTCTACGGAACATGTCAAAAATGAACAAAAAGACAAGAAAGACAAGGATGGATAAACTTGGGTCTCAAACATTCATTAGAGCAAATAAAACATCCTTACATATCATGTACTGTAACTAAAAATACCCTTGTGCAGAAACCACTTTTTGTAATTCTCTTGGTACAATCTACTCGATAAACAAAACTTTAAAAAATTTATGGAACGTAACATGACAAGTCGGACAGCTACTTATTTATTTTAAACAGACCCAAATCGCGGCCTCGGTGCTTTCTTGTCGTATCTCCATTTTTTTAAACAGTGAAAACAGTTCATAACAAAGAGTGAGCTTAAAAAGAAGTCACATTTTCAATGTTAGAAAAAATGGAGATACGACAAAAAAGCACTGAAATCGCGAAATGTAATCTGCTGTAATTATGTCTGAAACAATTAGAAAATCCAGAAAGCTGCACTCACTTGACAAGCACACGGAGCAGACGTAACCGATTTCTATGAGATTTCTGTGACAAAAGCACGCCGCCCTGTAGTCAACTTGAGCCCGGGGTGGAAGAGCCATCTTGGACCGTGAACTTGGGTCAGGCAGGAATACCCACTGTTTAGGAAAATAAGAACAACAGTTAACCCCTTCATTGCCTTATACCTGGTATGTCCTAAAATGCGATATTGTTAGTGTTGTGCCGTACCATGTAGATCATGGGAGTCGGCAAAATTTGCCGCTCCTGGTTGCCAATATGACGTTACATGTACGCTAATAGCCTGGCTCTAATTCTTCTGTATGGAGATTTAGCCACAAGCCCTGCATAGATTCATATTCAGGAATGAAAGGCGCATGTATCGATACCAAATTTGCTGGTATTTCTTTACTGCTAGGCTTGCAAGCGATCGATAAACACAGATCTAGGCTTGTGGGCGGCTGCGTGGTCTCGTAAAATGTAAACATCGAAATACTTTAAAAAGTCAAATAAATTCACTTTTTAACTAAGGTTTGCAGGTCATTCGAAAATAAGAGTAAGACGGGAGGAAATGGAAAATGGAGAATAAGAAAAGTGACAATCGAAGGCCCAGTGTCGGAAATAAGTCACAAATGCGCTAGATCTAGATTACAAGTCCATTAACACTGAGACAATAGGCTGCTGTCCAGAGAAACGAGCTCAGCTGAAAATCAGTGCTGACAGAAGGAACGCTTACTCCATGCAACAAAAGGGTTAATGTAATGATAACAAGAAATCCACTGACAGAAAGTCTGTAAAAAAAAAAACAAGAACAGGAAAGAAATGCTCTCGAGTCAGCTTACTTCATTACAGTTGGAGAAAAAAGGGACATTCTGAGTCCATGGATCTTGAGTAAGGCATAAACCCCCACTTTTGGGAAAAAATAAACGATGTATAATGTTAACAAGATATTCAAAGACAGAAGCAATCATTAAACAATAAAATTAAAATTGAATAGAACGGGGGATGCTTTTGATTAGGCTTCCATTTTTATACTTTGCAAAGTTCAGAGCATATATATATATAATATATAAAAACAACGACGGTATACTTTGAATGGCATGTCTATGAGGTGTCATGAAAAAAAAGAAACAAGAAAACATAGCGGAAAGCATACCCTTGATCATGATTAGTTCTGATTAGAATGATACAATGCCAAAATAGATTAAATACATGTATAGATAACTGTGGATGTTTTTAAAATCCCCTACAACACAATTGAGACCATTTTAGGGAGGCAAACTGCTGCTTTCACCTTGCCTATTAGTATTAGGGCCAGACTGGACTGAGAGGGACATAGCATCCAGGTAGAAAAGACACTCTATAAAGTAAGTTTTTTCAAGCAGGAATAATAAAAACAACTAAATAAATTACACTTTTATTTGGTTTACAATGGCACACATACATGTATACATACATAAATACGCACATACATGAATATGTGCATAAATACTTATACAAATACACAATATTACACATACAGGACAGTTTACAACCATGCCACTGTCAGTCGCCACTGTGCAGTGCCCTGAATCAAACCCTTCTTGAAATATACACTTATGAAAGTGAAAGCACAAGAATTGCTTCCTTACTATCTTAGTATTGTTGATTTTGATAGGTACCGTATTTACTGAATAATAATATTGTTTATGGTGCACAGATCATTTCAGTGAAGTTACCAGTTCCTCTTTTTATTGACATCGCATGGGGGAAGTATCAGATAGACTCTCTCTTCATTTTTTGGGGGGGGTTGGAGACACAGATTTTTTTTTTTTAATCTCAAATATTTCAAATAGCAATCACAGAAGGAAGAACAGCATTCGTCTTTAGAATCTTGGCATCAAGGTCTAAAATATATATAGACAGTTCGTTTTATGGTGAGACAGACTCTAAGACAATACTTTGCTACTGTACTTCATTCCATGAGTGAACAGATGCAGACTAGAGAGTACAACAGTGTACATATGGAAAAGTGATAAAGTGTATGAAAATTTGTACTTAGGGCTTCTTCTTTCCTATCAAACAGCTATCATCCTTATCTCCCCTTTTTCTTTTTTATGTTTGTTACTCTCTTGTAACACCTCTAATCATCTTGCGCTCATATGACCTTACGCAGCTGCGAGCGCCGTAAAACCTCTACTAAAACTAGGTAGCGTAAACACGGCCTCGCGGGCACTCGCGGCCTTCCGAGCACGTGGTATCGGTGAAATCAGGGCAATTAAGAATGCTGTTTCTTTGCTCTTTCGTTATAAAACACCAAATGCTGTACACCTTGTAAAAGTTCAGCTTTTCCTCATTACAATGGTGTAAGTTGTTCAATATGTCTGATTATTAGTTGCTGGACATTCTCTTGAATCACCAAAAATCTAAAGCCAACACCGTCATCCTCACAGATGCCAAAAATGTCCTACAAGCTCTCCAAAAGCTACAAACAGCTCAAGCACGACAACTCCTTTCACTCCTAAGCAGGGCTGTCTACCTCAAAGTTCCCATTTCAGACAGATTCAGGGTCAGGTTCAGGTATTTTGGCCCAAATATCAGGGAGTACAAAGACAAAGAAGGGGAAAAAAAAAAGATGATCGTTGCCCCATCGAACGCGCTTGCTTTCCATGATATTGGGTAATTATATTTTCAAAACTTGTTTGTGCATGCACATGTTTGTGTGAGTGTCTGTGTCTGTGTGAGCATGTTCTCATGTGTGTTTATATATTCTGTCCTCAGAGAAAGTTGCATTTGAAAACAGCAAAAGTTGCAAAAAGCTGCAAGAAAAATCAACAAAAGTTGCAAGAAAAGTTGCAAGACGTGTACGTATAGCTAAAAATGTCATGGAATTATTGGAATACATTGTTGGTATGCTATTTGCAATTAAAGTAACCAATGTGAGTTTTTTTAGATCAAAATCATAAGTTAAATATGAATGTCTACAGAACCAAAAGACAAAACAAAACAAACAAAAAAAAACCCCCAACTGCATGGAGGTTGCATGGTGTACAAAAAGTTTGTCCCCTGACACATGCATCAGGTCCTTCACTTCAACTTCAACTCTCGCTGACGTTGGGCAGGTGTGACCAGCGTGGTTTAGGGGCTGTTCAAATATAATCTTATTCTTACACCTTTTTGGAGATTTTTGCCCCCCCCCCCCCCTTACACTTTTCTTACATTTTCCTCCCCCCCCCCTCCCAAACCCTGTAATACTAATATTTATTCCCTTTTACTAATATGACATTTATATTGCCCAAATCTGTGTTACAATCATTGTTCTTTGCGCTTTACTTTTACATTATAATAGTATTCATGAAAAAAATGCATACACACATATGTGACATAATAATTAAATATGGTATAAGCGGAACTTTTCCGGAAAAACTTGTAAGTGAATAGCAGAGTTTACTCTTTTTTTTATGTCATGTTTTGTTTTTTAAATTATGTTGTCATAAATAATTTTCCTTGTTATTTTTTCACCTTACAAAGGTGTAATATTACATTGGTTCAGGACCCCCCCCCCCCCCTTCTTACATTTTTCTTTTACAGGAATCAAGACACCCCCCCCCCCCCTTTATGCCTTTTCCAGGCGTAAGATTATATTTGAACGACCCCTTTAGGGATTTTCTGGATGAATCGATCCATGTCTAGACCTACCCTCCTGGCCTAAGATTTAAAGTCTTTCACAAATTTTTATACTAGATCTACATGATGTATCTACCTGGTGCTACGGAACCAAGCAAGCTAAGTAATCAGACGATCGTGTTTACGATTGAGTTTACTCTATAGATATTTAGATATAGAGTCTAGATTTAGCTAGATCTAGAACTAGAAGATCAAAGATCATTCTAAACACGAAATGAGTAAAATATTGGCTAAAAAAGGTACCAATAGAAAGTTCTCTTTCAATTAGAATAAAGTCATAGGCTTGGAATTATTTTGCATGAATCCTTCCGCGAAACCACCGGGAGCACCCAGTACACTACAATATCGAGGCGTTTCGCTCGCCGCGAGGGCTGGTGCGACGTCGGCAGAGACAACTCTCTGTGTTTTAATTGAAATAATGACAGATCATCGTGTTTGAGGCAATACAATACTGATTTGTAATGATCTCACAGTCATGAAAAAAATTAAGCTTCATTTCTTTGTTATAATGGTTGTACTCTGTTAGTGTAGAGATGTTTGATGTGCTTGGTACTCTTTTATTATCTGTCAAACATGGGGTTGCAGCCAGTTAGCCACTTCAGCAATATTTGATTATTATGTTCAATTGAAACAGCTGCCATTCTCTTATACATTGACTGAGAGGTAAAAGTACGGTACCAAAGTTCTCTAGAGACATAGGCCTTTCATATATGAAACATATGAATTTGACTTACAGGTACTTTGAAAATTTAGTATCTGGTACCTAATATAATGCTAATATTTTTTTGCATTTGAGGTGAAGTCCATTCTCGTGAAAATTCTTTTTTTTTTTGGTAAGTTTTTTCTCTGTAACTGAAGAGTTTTCTACTTCTGTATGTTACCTTGTAGTGGCATAGCCAAGATAACTGCTACATTTCAATTCTCTATCTCATTTCTAATACCCCCATTGCTATGGAAACATGTTGCTCAACTTCAGAGGCCACTTTCTCCTTTTCATATTTCCTCACCTCGCACAATTAAAGGTTCTGCATTTCCGTCAAGTATGGTCATATTTTCTTCATTCTTGTTTTAAATTGTAGGGAAAAGGTGAAAGTTTTTAAAAATAATGTTAACTCAGTTTTGAAATTTCCTACTTATGACTGATATTGACCGGCAGGGACACATATGCACACCAAATTAAAAGTGGGAGAGTCAGTGATCTGTGAATGTGGACACGACCTAGAGGATGCCAACCATATCCTTCAGCACTGCCCGTGCTACGCCACCCTTCGTACACAGACGTGGCAGAATGTGGTCCCCTTGAGAGAAAGCTATAAGCAAGATTTGAAGCGAACGGCACAGTTTGTGCGCGACATCGGACTGACTGTCTAGCTGCTGTCATCGAGAACAAGGAAGAAGAAGAAAAAAAGTGCTGGAGAATCGCCGAGGAAAGCGAAGCCCCTCACGGTCGGAATGCGCGGTCCGCCTGTTCAAAAATTGACACGCATGCATTCAAATGCGTTGAAGAAAGACTGATGATTAAATACCGTCTTTCATTGGCGGAGAACTGTAGAGCTTTGAACGGGCTTTCACGTGGTATAATTTTGGCATTTGGTGTTTAAATAGAAAGCCTTTAAAAGTACCGTCAAAGTTTACAAAGATCATTTTTTACACGAAATAAGTAAAATAAAGGGTTAAAAAATGTACCAATAGAAAGATCAGTTAATTTTCTATTAGAATAAAGTAATCGGCTTAGAATTATTTTTCATCGATCCTTCCGCCAAGCTTGGAAATCATGTGACCCCTACGTGGGGAGCCCTCAGTACACTACAGTATGCTCGGTGTTTTTGTCGATATAACGACAGATCATCCTGTTTAAGGTGATGATAAAATACTGATTTGCAATAATCTTACAATCTTGAAAATAATTATGCTCCATATCTATGTTATAGTGATTGTACTCTGTTAATGTGGAGATGTTTGGTGTACTTGGTACTTTTTTATTACCTGTCAAACATGGGGTTGCAGCCAGTTAGCAACTTAAGCAAATTCAATCAAATTTGAAACAGCTACCATTTTCTTTAAAATAGACTGAGAGGTTAAATAATGGTACCAAAATGCTCAGGAGATATAGGCCTTTCATGTGGAACAGATAAATTTGGCATATAGCTACTTTGAAAATTTAGTTTGTGGTACCTACTAAAACTAGGCAGTTAAGTGAAAATTTCAAATTTGTCTGAGATATGCTTTGAAATACTTTCATTTGAAAGCTCTTGGCTTCAGGTCATAAAACAGTTATTATTTAAAAAGTTATGGCCATTTCTCAAGCCTAAAATCAGCCCAATTTCAGACCACTTTTAACACTAAGTTTTTGTGACACCAAAATGCAACTTTACAACACAAATGACCATTACTAAAAAAAATGAATATTTTTAAAAGTGTTGTACATCAATTTGTTAGGAATTTTACACAGAATGCACACAACTACAAAACACCTCTTTATAAAGTCACAGAAATATTTTTTTGGGTAGTTATAGAGGTTCAGGGTGATAAAAAATCACCCACAAGGATAACCCGAAATGGACAAAATGGGCTATATCTTTGCAGCTAATGGTCATATTTAGACCAATCATACATCATTCTCTTTGTCTTTATTCACTGTTCATAATTATCAAAGAGTTAAGCCAATTAGCTCTTTTCCTACCAGGCCAAAATCCACGCTGGCCCAGGGCTTTTCCCTGACCTATTTTTACGCCCCTACCCCGCCAAAGAAAAATGTCAAAACATCCAACTAAACACACACAAACCATGTCTTATGGCCCATCAAACTGAAGGTTAAAAAATAATCTATCAGATGGCGATACAATATTGAAAATTTATTCCAATTATATTACTTTGGAGTTTCTAAAAGTGATTATGCAATATCGAAGGTGTCATATCAAATCAACAATTTTGCAGCTTTGAAAGGTCATATCTAAAAAAGTACAACAACAGCATCATTCAAACTTCCCAGGTAGGTTGCCTCAAGTAATGCAAAGAAATGCTGATAGTCATGTATGTGTACCTAATATAGAAATGAAAATATGAGACATATACTGAAGTCAGGGTCGCGCTTTTTTCCCCTCGTATTTACGTTTCGAGGGGAACAAAAAAAGCGCTGAAATGACAAAAAATCGTCTCTCAGTGCTATATTTTCTTTCGTATCTGCTAACAGGAAGTCTATTCTATTATTGTGAAAACTTGGATCGGCCAAGAACTTCGTGTCTTTTCATTACTGGATTGGAATAGATAGCGAACCACTCGAGCCGTATTTTGTGGCTCTCGGTCCAGCGAGGCCAGGTCCGTGAGCCGCAAGATGCGGCTCGTGTAGGGAAAGTGTTAAGTAATAATTTCCAATTTTCATGGTCATTCTTAAGATTTCAAAAAATGTTTTTAGTGTTTTTCTAATTGTAAAACAGATTCCGTAAAAAGAAAAAAACAACAAGTCTTAATGACTGCCATAAGTCAGCTCCCTATCCTTTTTTCAAAGTATTGTATCATACATTTGTGTGAAGCTATATTTTATGCTTTCAAGTGCATAAAAGAGCTTATAAAGTCAAGAGAAATGCTCTTCGGAGACCTAGTTGTAGACCCACTGGAACATTTAATAAACTGCGGAAAGATGACCAGAAAATAACAAAATCAGCTTAAGATCTTCACACAAGTAGCACTTGCAATTTTTTGGACAAATTATATTTATAGCCTTCCTCATTCTATTATTTTTTCACACATTTTTCTTCACTATTCATGACATTTGCCTATTGTTTTGAGTTATTATCAACTAGCAATTTTCATTGATGACTACTTTTTTAAAATATTGAGTCAGACTCACTGGTCATATATTATATTTAAAAAGAAAATGAAACAATTTGATAATGTAAAAGTAAAAAATCCAGAAAATAATAACAAAATTATTAGGTACTATAGACTCTGTTCTCTACTACTAACTAGTTTGCGCAAAACTGATTTGAGAAAAAAGTTGTCCAATAAAAGTAAAAGTGATTGTTATGATATGATTTATTATTAACTCTGGAAAATATAGCTAGATGCTGAATCTAACATCAATTAGAACTATGCACTTCAAGTTTTATTTCAATTCAAAAGCCCAAAGGCATACATAGTAAGACCTAGCAGAGGCTGGCTTTCTCACTGCTAGTAGCCTACTACAGCTGAATTCTAGACAGGGAATCCTGATTTGGCTATCATCTGCACTATTCAAGAGCTAAATATGGTAAAATAAAAACAAAACTATTGTCAATCAGTTCATACTTTCATAGCCGCACGTATTATTATCCAGAGAAACAAGTAACGCGCAAATAAATGCGATGCCAGCGCAATACGTTATCGCAGTGTGCAGGGGAGAGCGGGGGCGCCGGGGCGCTGATCGGCCGATTCGGCGGTTCCGCTTTTTGTATGCATTTTTATGGGAAGCCCCATAGCGCTGTGCGAAGTTCAACCTATACAACTTGAGTGTAAAAAGAAACTAGAATGGACAATCTACAACTTCTGAATGATCATAAATATACAGCCCGTAGTTTCAGGGTCCCCACCAAATCCTGGAAAATTTTTTCAAGACCCCCAAATTTTTTTCAAGACCCCAATTCGAGGGAAAAATCAGGCCGCTGCGCGTCAAGAAAGATCCCCCAAAAAAGCCAATCTATCAATGATAAAACGTCAAAATGTCTATAAATGAATGCAAATGTACGTTTAGTAGTATAGTCTTCAAACAATAGATGACTATAATACTGGGTGACTGCCAACCCAGCTTCTCAATTTTCCAAGGGAGGGGCCTCATCCATTTTCCAGGAACACGTTACATAACAATGAAAGCGTGTGCTCCATTTATTATATATAATTTATATCTAATATAATACATGTATATGTTTGTGAATACACACACACACACACATGTAGGTACACTATATCCAGTCAACAACATGTCAGTGTGGCACTGGGATCTTGAGAGACTTTGGTATTTCAGTCTGTTCTTACTTATTTATATTTTCCCCTCATCATATTAGCCAACATAACAAACTATAGACCCTATATAAAAAATGAATCCTGTTTTGAGCCTGAGAAAAGACCTAGAACTAGAATATCGACTGTCAATAACCAGTCTGGGTGTCATGATTCATATAATAAACGTGAAGACGAAAACCATTGCTGCAACACAAAGAAGAGTAATATTAGTAATAACTATAATGGCTCAAGTACACCTATTCAGTGTGAGAGTGTAAGAACTGGGGGGGGGGGGGGGGGGGGGCGCGCAAGATACAGTGGCACTGAAAATCTGCCAATCTTGAACAGAAAGCTAAAATATAGATATAAATTACAATCACCCCATCCAATGAAACGCGAACACTTTAGTTCAATAACAAGGCATGACGGATCCCGATTCCACACAAGGCCTGCACCAACGCGCGCTTTGCAGAGAGCTCTAAAGTCGTTATCAAAATGCTAAAAATTTGCTTCCAAGTTCAGTTTTTGTCCTCTAGGGTTGCCTTCAGCCCCCCCCCCCAATCCCCTTCCACGAGTGTATCTTATAAAGGAGTCCTATACTTCACAGCGCTCAGACCGCCGGTACTCACAGGTTTATTGACCGGTCACGAGGGCGAACCTGTCAAGACGCTTGTATAAGTTCTTTTTCTTTTTTTTTTTCCCCAGAAAGCGACAGCAGAGGGCAATTTTTAATATTGATTTATTTTCAAGGCGACACAGCGTTCATAATGCATAACCTGCATGTTACAAATGTTGCGTTATCTATCAGTAGTATCAGACTATTACCGGAAAATTTCTGGGCGGTAACGAAAGCGAAAGTAGATCTTGATTCTTCCCGATCGAGCCTCGGTGTCACACATACACTTCCGCCATAGCGGTTCAATTACGTTTCCTCTTCGGGATTTATCAACCATACAGTCAAGATAGCTACACATTACGCAGGCCCTATCCTTTCCCGACTTACCGACCCATCACAAAATTCCCGACTTTTTCACAACCTCCCGACCCATTTCAAATTTCCCGACTTTTTCCCGACCTGGCGGGGACCCTGTAGTTTTCATTTTACCGTGTTGTAAAAATTGCCTTGTTTTCAGAAGCAAATATTTCCAGTTCTACTGAATCAATTTTCACGTGAAGACTGCCATTTTTAAGACCTTTCTTTTCTGTTTAAAAACATGTATCGGATGTGGTAGTGCGATTCAGAAAACAAAACAAAACTCTGAGTTGTTTAGACCCACCATAATGCAAGGCTTCACGGCCGGTCACAAAAATCTACGGGGCGTATCGCGGCCAATTCGCCCTGCCGCGAGCACGTTCACTTAACTGCCTACTTAAACTTACCAGGAGATATTGTAGAAGTCCCTGGGCTTGAGGAATATTTAGATATGTGCCACCTGTAATATCACAGGCCTGGAAAAAAAATCAAAAAAACGAATCGACTAGAGTTGAGGTCATGTTTTATTGTAGAGACAATAAAATGGTATAGGTGTAACGCCCCTATCAACACTAAGCATTATTTGAGAGTGGATCCTCCGAAAGGACTGAGCCAAATGGCTTGAACCTGGCTGAATGGGATACAGCACTGCATACAGACCCAAGACACACTCCATAAAAAACTTCCCCTCCTAGGAATCAAACTCACGTCATCTGGGTGAGATAGCAAAGAGCCCAACAGCTACACCACAGATGTTGGTTGGACAGGTTTCACTGATAGTGCTGTATAATGCAGTTTATTTCTTTGTTTTAGTAAGTGTTTTATGGCACTTGCAACATAATAAGATAAATAAGTGCAGAAAATTAGAGGTGTTACAAGAAAGAAACATCCACAAAAAAGGAGGGAAAATAATAGGACAATAGATGTTTGATAGGAAAGAAGGAACAAAGCACACCAGAGCACCCGCTAACCACCCATGTTTATTTCTTTGTATGCATTCTCTCCATTGAGACTCAAGAGCAGAGGTATAATTTGAAACATTACTTTAAATCAAATCAAGAGACAAGAACATTTTTTTGTTTAAGTTTGAGTTGGTCTTAGTTTCATTTCTCCTGTGGTTGGTAGTCTCAAGACTCATAATTACCAAAACATAAGAAGCAGATTACAAGAGTGGAATACTGAGAGTTACAGGCAGATCAGACCTGAAACTATCAAAAGTATGAGAAAAAAAGAAAAAAGAAAGAAAAAAACGAGTGGCTTTACTCAACATTACCTGTTGTAACAATCCAGATTCAGAGTCCAATATGCAGGCATCAATAACAACATTCTGCAATATAACCAATACAAACTATTAGTCGGGATATATTATCATTATATTAACAATAATAGATAGCATTTGTACAGTGCAAATTCCCGCTCAACAGTAAGCACTATGCACCTTACAGTCTATATTATTGCGCAACAGACCTGAGAGGATTCCAAAACAGGTTTCAACTTCCTGGGAAGCATACAGTGCAAGGTGCCATTTTTATAGGCGCTAAAAGACTGACATGCTGAATTTATACAGCAAAGAATTCTTCGAACTCACAGTACATCAATAATAAATCACAAGTTATTTGCCTAAAGCTATTTTTGAAAATGAAATGTATGGTCTGGACGCTTTTAATGTGCTATTACTGCGTAAGAAATGCCAGTATGATGTGATTTTAAAAAAACAAATGATGTATGAAGTTCCAAATATAAAGATATCAAATATACCACGTTTAATTCGTAATGATAGAGAGTAGACCCTTATACAGTCAGAACTACTTTAACCCTCGACCTGCGGGGCCCGGGTTTATGTCACCCGATAAGCCTATTTCGGCACCTCGTCTGCGTTCTGGTCCCAAGTTAGTCTCGCCGAGCATCGTCTCACGTGAAATTCGGGTCCCGCGTTGGATCCCCATTCTCGCAGGTCAAGTGTGTGAGTGTCAGCTTTCATCTCAGTGGCATATTGACGCGATACTGCCTTTTGCGCAAAAGGCAGCTTATAGTGCCACCAAAGTGAGCACAGTTCGAGACTGTACATCTGTTTATGACGCGCACCAGAAATTTTAACTAGGAATGTCCGTGGTATTGCACACAAGTCGATAAAAAACAGCAAATTTTGCTAAAATTCCCCAAGGATTTCCGAGCTGCATGTGGTGGTTTTGCCCCTTTAAGAAACTTTGCAGCATTGGTAACCCATTAACACTTTCAGAGCAAATCATTTTGAAACATTTCTTGCTGTCTTTTTTCCAAATTTTTAACAAATCAGGGCTGTCTGTCAAGGTGGTTCTTAACTTATGTTGAAATCAGTATACATTCATAACGACACTGTCCAAGACATCCACCTGTCTCAGGCTATCACTTTTCTCCTCGACAGTTGATGGCCCTCTTAGACAATTTCTACTCTGGTTCAAACTGCTGGTTACATATGGATTCTCTTCTGGAGCATCTTTTATTGATGTATTATCAATTATTATCAGTGCATCCACATCAAGAAACCCTGCACACGAGTGCTTTAAGATGACATACTTGAGCCATGATTGAACACTGAGTCCTGTTTCTATTTTATATTCAGTTGACCCTCCATATGATTTTCTTACCCCTTTGACTCTAAATTTCAGAGTCATGCTCTAAGGGAAATAATGTGCGAGACAGAACCTGTTCTCAAAACCCTCGGCTGGGTTCAGTCAGGTTAAAGATACAGAATGTGGAACAGGCAAGTTATATAATACAATACATAATAAAAAAAGTAAGTTCTGAGTTACTCCACAAATTCCCGGTAACTTTCTACAGTCCATAATGTGTACTAAAAAAGTTTGAGCATACTGACAATGAAAACGTTTTGCATTATACTACATCTAAATGTTAAAAAAGTCTTAACTGTATGGAACAAGCTTACTTCTATAACACATGCACTCTTTAAAACACTTGCTTAGTTTTATATTAACTCACTCAATCCTGGGAGTTTTTCCATTAAAGCGTACCCAGAAACCAGTCATTTTGGCATTTATGTAAGGGCCCACTAGTCACCATTTGACATAAAGTACAATCTAAGATAGGTCTTTAGACATACCAAATTTGAAGTGTGTAGCTTTAGCAGTTTTGCTTTGGGGTGTTGTACAAATTTGGCACTTTGGGGGCTTATTATTTTTTTTTCATGGCCGAACGAGCAAGATCAAGCCTACATTGATATTCAAATATATGCTTGTGAGTGTCCAGATCTATATATGTCATGTATAACAAAGAGTGTTGATTATTTTCCTGAATAAAAAAATGTATGTGTGAGAAAGGCAGAGAAAATTTGATTGCCAGACATGTTCAGCTGATCGGTGAAAACAAACGTGCTGATAGTGCCTTTATAAAAACCGTGATTTCTCTGAGTGTAATGACAGTAGAAACAAAATTCCAGTACCCCCCTTGGCAGAATCGGCTGGGGAAATAATAAATTGACCTTATATAGAACTTGACGCTGTTTTCCGAAACAAAATAACTAGTATACAGAACAACTATAGAACCGAGTTATCTCGGTCGTGGAATTGAACGCAGCCCCCGAGCTAACCAAGATATCTCGGTCACGGGATTGAGCGAGTTAATGGGAAAATACAAATAATCATTGTATTCATTATCACCTTTTCTCATCTCATACCAGTATATAAATCACAATTATAAAAGTTCTCCATCTATATCTATCCTGTCCACCTCTATCCCATCTCTTTTAGGTCCAACTATAACATTCTCCTCCTTGTACTTTTATTTTTATGCTTTCCTCTCTTCCTTTTCCCATCTTAAGACTTGGAGGTTATGTTCATATCCAGTTTTCTCAAGAAATACTCATAATACTCATATACAGTATGTTTTCCTGACCTGCTTTTGAGCAGTGAAGACTGCGTTCATGAAATTCATATACTGGGATGGGCAGTCATCTGAACCTTTCAATATCTGAAAAAAAAATATGTAAGGGGATACAAAAAATGGAATCACGCCCAGAGCCTACTCAATGCAAATATGTATATATATGGGTTCAAAAGATTTTAGACCTTGTCTTCACAGCATGAAAACCGTCACAACTTCTCACAAATAACTTTGAAGATATTTTCAGATGCCAAAATTATCAGTGGGAGATGAACATAAATATCATGTTCAACAACCGAAACCCAAGTGACTTAGCAATAAAGGAATCTAAACAACTGGAATCATTATGCTAGGTACTAAACATTGATGAGATTCAAATCCATTACATACAGCAAGAACTTGTGGCTGTTTGAAGTTGAACATTTTTCAACGTATTTTATTGTTAGAAAAATGAATGAAATTTTTTTTACCAAAATCCGAGCAGTCAGTGATTCCCCAATAGGACACTCTTTCTCCAGCCTGTGAATATCTTGTATTTGTGAAGGAAAAATGAAACAGAATTTTAAATACAAGGGTTGCATTACAAACTCAAAGTCAGTTATGAAACTTAAAGTAAAAATCATGATTTTCATTTCTATTGTGTAACAGAAATGGTATCAAAATTTTAAACAACTGCCCTTTGCAACACAATAAGGTCATATAGGTGCTGAAGATTAGAGGTGTTACAAGAGAGTAACAAACACAAAAAAGAAGGGGAAATAAGGACGATAGATGTTTGATAGGAATGAAGGAGAAAACCATACCAGCGCACCAGCCAACCATCCGCGAGTACAGACTAAAGCAGGTGGACTTGAAAAGATTTGTGAAAAAGACTGTCTTATTAAATGAGTATTTACGAAGCTGGTAGCAAGGATACAGCACAAAGCCATGCACATCGCTCCGGCTAACAGCGAGTCACTCGACTGCTCCTCCATGTAATCCACCTGGGCTTTGTCTATGGAGACACACATACATTTGGTTAGTTAGGATAAGACAATAAATTCACTTGAACCTACTCTTATGGCCACCTGTCCAAAACATCCACCTGCGGAGACACACATACATTTAGTTAGAGTGGATGAGACAATATAATACAGTTGAACCTACTCTAACAGCCACCTGTCCAAGGCATTCTAGTTCTTTTAGTTCTAGTAGAGGTTTTACGGCGCTCGCAACTGCATAAGGTCGGATGAGCGCCAAGGGGTGGATGTTCATACAGAAGTCCTTACAGGGAATCAGACTTACTCTGCTCACCTCTCTAGCTTCAACAGCACAAAGTCTGCTTCCACTATCAAGGCACCCCGAAAATAGCGGGTCACAAGAGTGTGACAAACATACAAAAGAAGTACAGGAAAAATGACGACAGAAAGGATTACGACAGAAAAGGCAGCAGTTCCCTGTGGTAGTTGAGGCACAGTTATAAGCATAATATTGTTGAATCAGCCCATTTACAATTCTACTGGCCATTAGAATGAGAAATGTCCACCCCTTTGGGACCCAAAGCATTCACCTGTGTAGACACACATACATTTACTTTGAATAAGACAATATTCTGTTGAAAGACACACACATACATTCAGTAACAAAGAATATAAGTCAATGTACAGTCAAACCATGCTCTCTCTTTCTCTCTCTCTTTCTTCTGGCACTGTGGCGTCATAAACTGTCAGCGATGCCGACAGCAAGCAGGAACTCAACACTTGCCTGGGAGTCCTTAAAAAGTGCTGAAAGTGGGTTACTGAAATGTCCCAGCAGACGGGTTCTAGCACGATAGTTGGCGGGACATCTCAGGAACACATGGTCCATAGTTTCGTCCTCCTCCTTGCAGGCTTGACAGGACGGACCTGGGTTGTCTGCTGGTGCAATTTTGAGGAGATATGATCTCAGCTTGGGCGATTTTCCACCAGTTCTCATTTGGGAGAGAAGCCGGCAGTCCTGTTGTCTGAGCGAGGCCTCAAGCTGGTATGATGGCGGCTGGGCAAATGACAGTTTGGGTTTCGCCTCTCTCTTCCATTTTGCGCGGGTCGATTGGTGGATGACGGCTTTAGCTGTCGAGAAATCGATTGGCGTGTCAATCTGGGTAAGCGTTGTTGCTTCTTTGGCGATATTATCAACTTCCTCGTTCCCAGCCAGTCCAGCGTGGCCTGGAATCCACTGGAAGATGATGGAACATTCAGAGCTTTGACAGAGGGTGTGCAGATGCTGCCAGATTTGAGCATGCCACCTTTTCTGATTGGTTGGTAGAGCCGTATGAGAGGCACATGACTGCTGACCTGGAATCAGTGTCTACATGGATGCCTACACTGTTCGGAAGGCTGCCTGGCTGCATGTAGTGCCACAAGCATGTCCAGCGCTGTGTCGAGAGCTACAAGCTCGGCCCTGTAGCTGGAACAATACCAGCCCGCGGGTACACCGTGGTCGGGTTCGGTATCACAGTTCTTGATCAGTAGTCCACTGCCTCCATACTCGGTAACGTGCTTAGCGGAACCGTCAGTCCAGACTTCTACATCGGGCAGGGGAGCGATCGAATGGAAGCCTCTGCTGCTGCTTTCCTGATGGCTGGTTCATTAGCACACTTGCAGTCGACAACGAGATCGGTGTTAAAAGTCATGTTGCACGATGCAGCCTTCTACGGTTGTGTGGGGGGTAAAACAACCAGCTCCTCCCATGGGTACGTATCCAGTTCGGTTTCGGCTACGGGGTTCTGGGAATGCTTTTTCCACTTCGACTTGCCTGTCCGAGTGGGCACTGATTTTGTTGAGGAGGCTCTGCCTTGGTTCGTTGTACGCAGACACACGGACTTCTCGAGTACGATGGCAGTCAAGGCATCAGCTCTATGCCTTAGTGGTAAAACGTCTGCTTCGATGAGGAGGCTGTCCACCCGAGTATCCTTTGAGCAGCCCTTGATAATTCTTGCTGCTTCATTCTGCTTTCTTTCCAGTTTCTGCGGGTTGGAGGGTTTGGCAAGAGGCATGTAGGCAGGGGCACAAGAGTCGATAGCTGACCGACAAGTAGCATAATATACGGACTTTATGCATTCCCTTGAGGCACCCCGGGTGGTGCCTGTAAGGGCTTTCAATGGTCGAAGTCTGCTTGACTGTTTTAGCTCAAGGTTTTGGGTGTGGGGGTTGGAGGACAGAGTATGATCAAGAGTGACCCAAAGTAAGATGGGGTTAAAGTTGAAGGTGATGGGGGAGCCAAGTTGATAAAATTTGCAGATGATTCAACTATAATTGGGCTAATTCAGGCTGACCATAACGAAACCGTTTACCGGAATTTTGTACTTAATTTTTCTGAATGGTGTGAAAATCATAAGCTGCTTTTAAATGTTAAAAAAAAAAAGAACTTGTCGTTGATTTTAGAATAAAGAAACTGCCCCTGCAGCCACTCAAAATGAAATGTGAAAACATCGATCAAGTGTCAGACTATAAGTATTTGGGTGTTACAATAGACAACAAACTCAACTGGCGTGTCCACACTTCTCTCCTGCATAAAAAAGTGAACAAAAGACTATTTTTTCTTAGAAAGCTAAAGTATTTTAAAGTTGATAAAACATTGATGTCCATGTTCTACCATTCAACCATAGAAAGTATTATCAATTTTTGTATAACAGCATGGGCCGGGAACACAAGACAACAAGATAAAGAAAAATTAAATCGACTAATACGGAAAGCATGTAAAATTTCAACATCTTCATTCCCCCACTTGGATGAATTGTACATAACAGCTTGCACTAAGAAAATTAATTCCATCTTTTTAGACAGCAAACATCCCTTGTTCCCTCAAATAAAAACATCAGTCAGAAGTAAAAGACCCATGCTTCTGATCTGTAACAAAGAAAGATACAGAAGGTCGTTTTTACCATCATCTATCAAAATGCTTCCATCTTAACCATCTATCTTGTTTAGTGTACTTAAGACCTTAGAGCATGCATCAAAATAACATTGAGTGTGTATCTAGCTTACGATTATTATGGTTTATATTGCTGCTCATTTATATTATGTATGTGATTGTAAGCCTACTTGTGTGTGCATGTGCGTGCACATGTGTACGTGTGTGTGTGTGTGTGTTTGTGTGTGTGTGTGTGTGTGTGTGTGTGTGTGTGTGTGTGTGTGTGTGTACTCGTGGTGGAACACCAAACCAATGTGCCAGGATCTGGACAATAAAGATGTATCTTATCTTATCTTATCTTTGTGCGCGAATGCTGGTTTTTGTTTGGCCTCGTGAGTGCTGATGGTGAAGAGGGTGCACTCTGTTTTCTCCGTACTGATCTCCATCTTGTTTTGCTTTGCCCACTGCTCAAGTAAGTTTATGACTGCTTGGACACTGTTTTCAGTCTGATTTATGTCTTCGTTGGTGGCGTATATAGCATAGTCATCAGCATAGCGTCCCGTCTTCACGGCTTCAGGCAGGCCTGCTTCAATATCATCAATGAAGACAAGGAACAGTGTGGGGGACAGGACGCTGCCCTGGGGGACTCCCTGCTCGAAACTGAGAAGCTCGCTTGTTGCGTTGCCGTGCTCGACGCGGGCGTATCTGTCTCTCAGGAACGAACCTATCCATTGGGTGATGCAGCTGGGAGTAGATTTCTCAATCATCTTCTCCATTAACCTCGTGCGCCATACCTCATCGAAGGCACGCAAGAAGTCCATGAGAGCTAGCACAGTTCGTTGCATTTTGGGACGAGCCTGGAACCCGTCTGAGATATGTTGCGTTAGGCACAGGACTTGGTCTTCAGTACACCTTAACTTGAGAAAGCCCGATTGATTGTTGCACAGCAAGTATCACCGGTATCACCTGCTCTGATAGCCATCTGTCCAAGACAACCACAAGTTGTACAAACTCCAATTTCCCACTCTTTCCCTCACATATTTTTACGTATTATAAAAACACTGTCCAAAAGATCCACCCGTCTAAGACAAACCAATTTCTCCATGACAATGGAAGGCTGTCTTGAACAAATTTGGCTGAGGTTTGAAAGGATAAGACAATAGTTTAATCCCCATAACTAACTTTTTCTCGCAATCGCCTAAAATGACAATAAAAGACATCACATGCAAACAAAACTCAAATAACAGACAGTATCCAGAGAAAAGATGAGACAAGACACATGTGTTATATCTGGTTAGAAAGGATAAGACAGTAGTCTATTGTCCACAACTAACTTTTCTAGCAGAGAAATCACCTAAAATGCCAATAAAAGACATCATGAAATACTCAAATGACAGACAGTATAATTATTTTTAAAATTTAATACCCACAATTAATACTTTTCTCGCTACAGCCGTTTTTCAGATTTAGTAAGTTTTATAGCAGTTGCAACACAATAAGGTCATAAAAGTTCTGAAAATTAGAGTTGCTACAAGAGAGTAATGATCATAAAAAAGAAGGATGGAAGATAAAGATAATAAATGTTTAATAAGAAAGAAGGAGCAAAGCACATGAGAGCACCAACCATGTACTGCTAATGCCGAAGATGACAAGACAAGCACAACCATTTCATCCTCAAACCACCTGCTAGATCTGTCACATCAAAACAGACACACACCCACATACATAATATAAATACAACCTTAGGTTTTAGCAAGGTTTTACGGCGCTCACAACTGCATGCGCTCATATGAGCGCCAAGGGGTGGATGTCAACAGAGAAGTTCAAACGGGGAATCAGGCTTACTCTGCTCACCTCTCTAGCTTCAACAGCACAAAGTCTGCTTCGACTATCAAGGCACCCCAAAAATAGCAGTCCACAAGAGATTGACAAACATACAAAAGAAGTAGAGGAAAAATGACGATAGTGAGGATGAGGAAATAAAAAAGCAGCAGTTCCCCCTGTGTTGTTTCGGCACAGTATGAGCATGACATTGATAAATAAGTCAGTCCATTTACAGTTTTACTGTGCATAAGAGTAAGTTAATATCCCCCCTTTGGGAATGGCCTAAAGACATTTCAGTCAGTAGCACTGCCCCGGTGGGGTGGCATAAATACATACATCCACACACACACACACACACACAGACAAAAGAGCAAGAGCATGCCCATAGCTCACCAGCTTCAATCAGCGTTTTAAGTTGGGTCCTCAGCTGGCTTTCTACAGAGTTGAACACTTCATACTGACCATCGTCCGGTAGCTTGAAGATGTCTGGCCGTGCCGGCTGAGAACTCGGGTACAGAAATGTGCTGAAGGAAAACGATCAGTCTAAGATGTTTGAGCTTACGTAAAGGGAAGCACATTGACACAATAACTGTCATTTAGAGTTGGAAAAGAGTAAGATAGGCAAACACAAAACAACAGAGGGAAAGAAAAGAAAGAAGGGCCTACTAGAGGTACCATTCAAGCACCCACCATCTTAGACTATTAATTTTTAGAATAAAAAGTGGTTTGTAATTGATACAAGGAAAAACTAGGGACACCACTAGAAAAAGAAAAATGTGAAGGACAGATGTATCTTTGGAGAGGAACAGTTGATGGTCTTTGCGCCTTAGGTGAGAGAGAGAGAGAGAGAGAGAGAGAGAGAGAGAGAGAGAGAGAGAGAGAGGGGGGGGGGAGAGAGAGAGAGGGGGAGAGAGAGAGAGGGAGAGAGAGAGAGAGAGAGAGCGAGAGAGATTTATTGATTTTTTTTTAAATCAATGTTTTATAGCACTCAAATACTCAGGGGTAGACAAGAGATTAATGGTGGTTTTCATTAGTAGAGACGTACTGCTCATCAAAGCAAGTTGAAAGCAAAGATCATGAAATGGGATAGAAAAGGGTGACAGCTAAAACTCATACCCGTTGAACGGGAGAAAATGAATTAAGAATGCTAACAAATAGAAGAATGAAACCCATAATAACAGAGCAGTAGAGACAGAAAAACATGACTAAAACCATTCCCAACTAGAGTATCAAGGAGGAGGCGGAGGAGGCAGAGGAGAAGAACTGAAATGAAAAGTGGAAAACAAAAAAAATGAAAAAGGAGGAAGAGGATATGGGGGGGGGGGGGTTAAAAAAAACAACCCAGCAAAGATATAGTCACAAGTCACAGTGAATCAAAAATAGTAAAAATAACAAACCTGATGTCCGTGTGAGCGGCAATGACAGCCAGTTTGTTGTTATGGGAGACCATCAGGTGAGAATTGGCCAGCACAGTCAGGCAATCCACACAGTGGCTCAGAGTCATCTGAGACACATTTCACTTCTTTTAGAATACATGTAGACCTACATGTAAAATATACTTTTACTTTGTACTCTTACAAATTCAAAAACATTATAATCAAATGCAGGTTAGATTTTCTACGCTATCGAGTATGATAACTGGGAAAAGAGCAAACCTACTTTTAAAAACCTAATATCTCACATTCATGATTCATATAACAAAAATTTTGTGATTCACATCCATCAAATATACAAACACATATACACCGTGCTTCCAATAAAAAAAGTTCAAAGGTTTTAATAAATAGGAAAAAGTGGCTTGAAGAGAACCCTTAAAAAGTAAAAACCCTCAAACCAATATCACAATGTTTCAAACTGTAAAGTGATCAAAGCATCGGTTTCGAGAAAATCAATTTTCCTTCTTCTGTGTTAAGTACATGTCCAGGCTTAAATGGTTTGTGCCAGAAGCCATCAAATTTTAGTTTTGAAAATAACTGCACAACCAAATTTGTGACCACAAATAAAAAATGTGGCTTGGACTCAATACTTTTACGATAGAAAATCAACTTTGCTAGATTTAGTGTCACGTTTACAAAAAAAATGTGCTCTTTTTCTCATATTTCAACTTCATTTGTAATACAGAGCAATTTGGTTACCGTATTTTTTATGGGAGAAAAATGCCCAATTTATAACAGCAGAGATGTTTGTTCTGCAAGCAACTTCCTTGGAGTCCGGGTCTTTACTTTTAAGTGTTTGCTGAAGAGGTGTCTAGACTTTATTTAAAAAATGAAGAATCCATCTCCTTTCGTTAAGTGTCCAAGTTTTTGTTTAGTGTAAGTTCATTGACTCTCTGTGTTTCACTACATGTTGGAAGAGGAAAAGGATGAAGCAAATAGTGGATCCATTGTGCAGTCACTGAGGACTAGCTTATAACAAAACAACAATTGAGATGATCAGAAAACATACTTTGACGAGGGCATTGAGGGGACATGAACATGTTCAACATGCTTAAACTTGACTTTGCAACAAAGTATCATGTGCAAAGCTTTGTTTGGTAATTTTTTTCCAGACTACAGCATGAGAAGACAGATGAACTGATGAAACAAATGAAAAACAAACTCATTCCATGATTACGTTTGGAAATGGAAAAAACAAAAGAGGGGCTCATCATACTTACTGGATCTTGAGCAATTTTTTTCTTTCCCCACCATACTGGATTGGTGTCAAGAATTACTATCAGAAGACTGCTCTCGAGCTTATCTGCTTGAAGAAAAAAAAAATGTATTTTAACAATGTTTTTTCTTCCCAAACATCTGGGATTGATGTCAAGAATTGTTATCAAAAGACAGCTCTCTAACTTTCTCTGATTAAAGATAAAAAAGTAAGCATATAAAGAAGCAAAACAGTGTGCATCAACATTCAAGGGTACTGCACTCTTAAAGGTTTGAGGACGTCAGAGGTACAGTAATTTTCATTTCTGCCAAATTTGAAACATTTCATTGTTAACTACTTCTAGCAAGACACATAGAGCGTGCTATTAATTAAGCATGGATATAAAGCGCTATATATGCAATCAATATTTTTCATCATCATCATTTATTACAGTCACTTTGTTAACATGGACACTGAATTATATTGATCATATAATGAATTGTCATCCCTGAATCATTGCTTCTCTGAAATGTAATCAAATTCAATATCAATACAGTGAGGTTACACTATAAACACTCCTCTTTGCTAACAACACAACCTTGTGTGTAACACAGATGGTACAGTTTGACTCCAAAATTGGCCCATTTTTGTAGCTTGCACACATAATATGGGATGAATTTTTTACATGCTCAAAGGGGCTTAACTCTTGTCGTGCGTCTGTGCCGAGATACAAGTCTTATCAGTAACTTCTTACTTCGGATGTTCACGGCAGACTGCTGGGGTCACTCAGCATGTACTGTTAGTGTACAGCGAGCAGCAGTGGAAACATGTGCGGAAAGCGGGACCTGGTCATCATGTGGACGATGCTCGGCGCGCATGCGTTGAGCTAGGGCCGGACTGATATATGGGACCGGACAGATGGCGAGGTGCCGAAATACGCTTATCAGGGAACATAAACCCAGCTCCCACAGGACGAGGGTTAATCAAGTATTAGACCTTAGTCAGACAATAATTCTAAAAAGTGTTTCACCTCTTTAAAAACTGTTGGTTGTTGCATTGAGCACTAAACATTGAGCTAAAAAATTGTGTCCAGAAAGGCAACAAACAGGTATTTACTTCCCCTTTGTTGGTCCTGATCCTGGCTGTACACCACAAGAACATTACGGGGGGGGGGTATACTTCTCATTTTTGGAGAAAATCGCAGTTACAGTTGAATACAGCAGCCTACAGTACTTTTAACTTCAATGAAACATTTCAGATGACCTATGCTGATTTGCCAAAATCGAGCCCATATATGCATTTTTAACTTTTTAAACAATGTAACAATTAAAAGGTAAAAGGTATAGGCAATATCTTTCAAAAGTGTTTTCAAATTATACTTTATGTGCTGTGTCACTGTTTCTCATTCACTTTCTTTCTTCGAGGAGAAAAGGGGGAAACTGCAATAGATCTAGTATATATATATAGAGAGAGATCTAGATTTAGACAGAAATATCAGGCAGGAAATGCCAGAGTCAGTGAAAAGGCATTTTGTACATTTGCAACACAATAAACAGATCTACATTCTAAAAAACAATTTGGTGAAAATACATGTTTTGTGTGAAAGACCAACTATTCTGGAAGCTGTAAACAAAAGTTGTGTGAAATTCAGTTTTTGTGCGGTTTATAGTCTTTGATGCGTTTACCATGTTTCAATTTCAAGAATAAGCGTTCTTACTGTTCTGAGCATAAACGATCTAAGCGATCTTCCATCATGTCCAAGTACCGGAATTCCGAAATGCTATTCACAAACCGGACACACGACATTCCATGCGGTACCTCCACGGCCTTCTTAACTCATTCGCTACGTATTATTTTCGGCTTGTGGACTAATTTTTTGGGGGGAGGGCGAATGAGATGATGACTAGTGGGCAGTTAAAAGTTCAGTGGGGCCACAAATTCAAATAAATATCAACACATTATTTACCAATATTTTCAGTATGGTTTGTAGAATACATCTGTAATGTTTATTTATGTATTTTTCAACTTTGGTTCCTGTAAGAGACGATTATGCAACACAATTTTGATTGGATGCAGATAAAATTTGAAAATAAAAAATTAATAATCTTTGGTGAAACTCAGAAAATATGTATGCACCTAGTTAAATGATATATCAAAATAACCATAAATGAATATAGAACTGGGAAATATTGAAAAGGTTGCAGTTATTTACCTACATTCCATAATATTTGTACATTTTGAACATAACATCCGATATTGAAAATTTTTTTTTTTATAATCTTGAAAAACGATCACAAACAGATAAAAACCCACTCGTACCTTATATGGAATTATTCAGAATTGCATGTCTTGAGTGGCACTTTTTGTGTAATTTCATCAAAAAGTAGTGATTTTGTGGAGAAAAAAATATTTTGACAATTTAGATCTAGATCTAGATCTAGACCTAGATTCTAGATCTAGATCTAGCACTCAAAAATATTGATTTCTCAATAACAGTGCATTGACAATATTATGTGTCCAATCTTATCAATATTATAAAAAAGAGTCCTACATTTCTTTAGTGGGCAAAATAATGATAGATTTTGTTGGGTAAAATTATTAAGACTGGTGTCCGGGCTATAATTTTGGCATCGGGGTAAAACAAAGTCGAATCAACTACGAAATCGCGTTTCAAAACTGAATCTAAATTTCCGATTTTCAGTGGAAATGCTTGACCCGGAAGTCAACATTATATTATGACCTTTATTTTAACATGGATATGTGGATTAGAATAGAATTTAAGCTAAAATTGAAGATCGATTCTCGAGCTGCCGGGGGCGGCTTAGCGTACTGATGGCACTTTAGCCGCGCCGCCCCCCGCGGCTTGGCGTAGCAAATGAGTTAAAATAAATCTGTGGGTATCCCAGGATGTGATGACATCACATTACTAAAATTAGCAGCCAATCAGGAAGATGCGTCCTACGTTTAATCGCATGTTGTTCTCCCGAAGACGGCCTAGGTCTACATCTAGATCTAGTTTCGTAATGGACTAGACTAGGACTAGTTTAGAATCTAGATCTAGATTCTAGGCCATACTAAACTCTAAACTAGATTTTAGATCTAGATCTAGAGCAATTTATTTTTATCCAATTACCACAGCTGGACAGACACAAGTGAACAAGCCACTCAGCTCTATACTCTATAACTTTGAGGTGCTTTTTCGGTGGTTCCCACCCTCCCCCCCCCCTCCCCCCCCCCCCCCCTTATTTGAGCCTAGATCTACATCGAGATCTATACGTTTGATGTGCGGAGAGCTAAAATATCAAACCTAACAACTGCAAAACATCAAATTATGGTAAAATTCAGGGGGGCATGCCCCCCTGAAACCCCCCATCTTATTTTTATGGCCGGCACTATTTCTCCGAACATTCGGGAAAATAAAGCTGGGCACTATTTCTCCGAACGTTCGGGAAAATAAAGCTGGGCACTATTTTTCCGAACGTTCGGGAAAATAAAGCTGGGCACTATTTCTCCGAACACTCTAAAATCACATCCTTTCCCGCAAATTTCGATATAGATCTATAATTATATTATAGGCCTGCCAAAGATTGTTCGTATACAATATGGTTCAATCGGTTCAAAAAATGTCCGGAGTAAATATTTATATTAAAAAATGCTACATACTTCCAAACAGTTTTTCGCTACAGATATGACGTGTTGCCTATATGAAGGGTGCTGCTCTTAAACGTAATGTGTTGTGTTCACTCATGTGCTGTCTAGATCTATAGATCTATGGAGGGTTACTGATAACGACACATAGAACTAGCATGCGTTTGTCACGACCGCAAATAATCAATCGTGACTCGATTTTTTTTCTTCATTTTTTGGTCCCCGAATCGGGGAATAAAAGTCAAATAAACAAAAGAAAAGAAAAAAACCAAAATCGAACCTCTTTACTTTTGATAGAAAGTTCACTTAGCTTCACTTCGTCTCTTTCTCACTTGTCACCACGTTGATTTGTTGAATACGTTATAGTTACATACGATTTTTATTGCTGTTCCTCTTTTATTTTTCCCTCTTTGTGGTGTTTTATTTTGTTGGTGTGTAATTTTTTTTCTTGTTATTGTTCTGATGTTTTGTTTTACTATTCATTTTTTGTTGTTGGGGAAAACGGGGTGGGGGGATGTTGTACAGTGTAACGTCATTTAATATGATGTTCCTACGTTCATTAGATTCTAAATATAATACATGTATATATAGAGAAATTTAAATTGTCGCCTCTGCAGGTGGTGACTAAAAGTGCAAAGGTCTAGCCACCCGAAAAGTGCCAGTTTGCGGAGGGCCAACTACCCAACCCAGTAAAAAACAGTAAGTTACAGAAACATGGACAAACACAGCTTTTTATTTTTCGATCTTGGGAGACGGAGGAGCTTCTACATCAGCAGGAACATCAAGAGGCTAGCCCAGGATAGAGAAAGGTGGAAGGTGTTTGTCCGTGGCCTATACCCTGGTGCAGGGTGAGAAAGTTAATGATGATGATGATATAGATTCGAAGTGGCAAGCCGTACTTAAGTACGGCTAGCCTGAGAGTCTAGCCGTACTTAAATACGGCTAGACTGCCAGTCTAGCCGTATTTAGATCTAGGTTTGGCCCTATCAACTCAAACCTGTTAAGTACACAGGTCTCATTCGATCTAGATCTAGTAATTATTCAGGTTCAAATACATGCAAGTTAGTAAGGCACATTTTGGTTTTGTCTGAAATACAAATACTTTAGGCATTGCAAACTAAAAATTTCATTTACAATTCAGCCATCAATATTAAGTACGGCTAGCCTGACAGTCTAGCCGTCCTTAAGTACGACTAGCCTGGCTGTCTACCCGACTTAAGTACGGCTAGCCAAGAAGTCTAGTCGGCTAGACTGCCAGTCTAGCTGTATTTATCTTAGGCCCTGTTAACATTAGAAAACAGTAGGTTCAAAATACATGCACTGTCATTAAAGCACCTGGTTTCATCTCAAATACAAATACTTTAGCTGCAAACTAAAAATTTATATTAACAATTCAGTAGGCCTATTTTTTTTTCGAAGTGACTATTTCTCCGAACGTTCGGAGAAATAGTGCCGATCTTTATTTCTCCGAACGGTTTCCGGCTTCCGGTCTCGTGATTTTTTGCCTATTTATTGCGAGAGTTCGGCACCAACTTTCATTCTGCCTCTGGTCTGGGAAGGAACACCGCATGGCAAGCCCGCCTACATACAACCTTCAGTAACACCCACCGCACACCCACCACCATCATGCACATGTACACACACAAACTTATACACACACTAACTAAACATGATCAGTGGGCAACTTTTGAACGTATGACGAGCTGAGTTGTGGTTGGAGAGACAGTGTGAGTGACAGAGCGGGTGAAAGGTAGAATTTACGAGTGTATCCACAGGCGACAGCAACTACAAGACGACGACACCGACCCCCCCCCCCCCATGGTTCGCAGGGTGCAAGGGAATGAGTGAGATTTTCTTTGTGTGTGCCTGGAGGGAGGGGGTGGGGTGTGAAAGTCATGAGGACGGGGATGAGCCGCGGGAGAGAACACGGGAATTGAGTGAAACTGAAAGAGAGGAACGACTCATGAGCCCTGGAGTGAATAGATCCTGTGTTTCTATTTTTGTATACTTTGAACTGTTCCTCACTCTCCACTTACACACTTACTACCACACAGACACACTCACACACGCACATGCATAGACACACACACACACACACACACCCATACACACACACACAGGAGCAAATTTTTGGGTCTATATCTATTTCAATTTTCAAGAGCTAGTCTAGAGATTTTTAGACGAGTGTAAAAACGTGAAAAAGAAAGGTTTCACAACAGAATGAAATCAAAATTAGTCGAACAGCCCATAAACAACCACAAAAATAAACAAATAAGGGTGTGTGTCAACCTGTCCGAAGAAAATTGCCTGTTTTAACCCTAAAAGTGCGTACATTTTTTTTTTTAAGTACAGGATATTACATGTAAATTATGGAATCACACACATTAAGGGGCCTGCCAGTGTCAGTACATGTAATCGGTTTTGGTGGAACGTACGCTCTAACATAAAACATTTAAATCTATTTATATATATACATGTATATTTAGAATCTAATGAAGGAAGGAACATCAAATTAAATGATGTTACACAATGCAACATCCCCCCCCCCCTTTCCCCAACAAAAAAATGGTAGAAAAAAAACACATTAGAACAGTAACAAGAACAAAAATTACACACTAACAAAATAAAACACCACAAAGAGTCAAAGAGGGAAAATAAAAGTAACTGTAACGTATTCAACAAATCAACGTGGTGACAACAAGTGAGAAAGAGACTAAGTGAAACTAAGTGAACTTTCTTTCAAAAGTAAAGAGGTTTCGGTTTCTTTCTTTTTTTTCTTTTTTTTTTTAAATTTGACTTTTATTCCCCGACCAAAAAATGCCAAAAAATCCAGCCACGATTTATTGGTCGCGCCCGCGACAAACGCAGAAGCTAGTTCTATGTGTCGTTATCAATAACCCTCCGTAGATCTAGATCTAGACAGCACACGAGGGAACACAACACATTAAGCAGCACCCTTCATAGGCAACACGTCATATCTGTAGCAAAAAACTGTTTGGAACTGTAACATTTCTTTATAAATATTTACTGCGGACTTTTTTGGACCGATTGAACCATATTGTATACGAACAATCTTTGGTAGGCCTATACTCTATATATAAAATATCCTAAATTTGCGGGAAAGGATGTGATTTCAGAGTGTTAGGAGAAATAGTGCCCAGCTTTATTTTCCCGAACGTTCGGAGAAATAGTGCCTTAAAGCTTTATTTTCCCGAACGTTCGGAGAAATAGTGCCCAGCTTTATTTTCCCGAACGTTCGGAGAAATAGTGCTGGCCCTTTTTTTTTGGGTAGTGTCGATTGCCACCGAGTGACGCGTTGGCAATAGACAAAAATTGACTTTTTGTCAATTGCCACCGAGTAAATTGGAGCTCTTTTGCGTTGGTGGGTAGATCTAACTTATTGATAAATATTGTGCTCGAGCACTCGGTGTTGTGCGTTCGCCTCTCTGTCCGTCTGTGTGTGTGTGCGTGTGTTTTTCCCTGACCCCCGTCCCCCGATTTATGTTCCCCGATATAACATGAATTTCCGCTTGAGTTTGCGTGCGTTTGTGACCTTCTACTTCTAGAATTGCCAGTGTTGGTTTTACACCAAAGTGTAGGCTAAGGCTAGCCTAGATCTAGGCCTAGATTCTACGTGTCTCATTGAAAACATGCCAAGTTGGTACCGTAGCCTTTGTAGCTCTAGACTGGGATGCTCGTCCAATGAACTAGTTGAGAACAAATTGACCCATTGCACACATATATCTAATGTATTATGCTAAAGATAGTGTTGTTTTCAGATTTGACACCGCTTCACTCGGTGGCAATTGACAAAAAGTCAATTTTTGTCAATTGCCACCGCATCACTCGCGTCACTGCCAGTCTAGCCGTCATTAAGTACGGCTAGCCTCTTCCATAGATTTTAATGTCTTAGTCTTATGTTAGAGCGTTCCACCAAAACCGATTATAACATCATACATACTCACGACTCACATACTGACACTCGCAGGCCCCTTACACAGTGTGTGATTCCATAATTTACATGTAATATCCTGTACTTTTTTAAAAAATTACGCACACTAGATCTAGATATCTAGATCTAGATCTAGATCTATAGATCTAGATCTAGATCTAGATATACAAGATCAACAAAACATTTAAAAGTATGATTTTTTAAAATGACAATGAAGCTAATAATTTTAAATTTTGCTTGCCAGTTTTGATTCCATCCATGTTCACTCAAGTTGAAGTAGGGAGGCTACAATATAATTCTCAATTCTGTTTAGATCTAGAATCTAGATCTACTCTAGATTCTATTAGATCTAGAATCTAGATTTCTAGATCAAGATGTGCAAGAACTGAACAGAACAGTTCGTCTTTGTCGCATTGTCGTTTGTTTTAACAATCTAGATATAGATCTTACTGCAGAGACTACAAGATGGTTCAATACGCCAAAATGGAAAGAAAGCGTACTGATTAGTTGTCGGTCTTGGATAGTATAGGATTTTTCCAGTAGTATAATTAATATTTCAATACTTTCTCTTAACAATACGGTCAACGCCAAGAGTGGGAGAAAAAAGAGCATGCAAAGTGACTAACCACCCCTACCTTTACGTACCCTCACCTCTCAGCAACAAGACAGAGATACAATACACGAAAGAACAATTTCGCCACTAGCCACGAGAATATCGAGTTTGTGTCTCTTACATGCGACCAGAGAGGGTTTACAGTAATAATATGTAAACGTTCTGATGCAACTACACGCACGCGTAAACCGGGCTAAGATTGGCTGAAACTTTGACCCATGAATGCATTTAAGTAGGCCTAGGCCAAGGAGTTTACAGTAGAACTGTTTTTTCTATCTCTGAGGCTTAGGCGGCCTACGGCAGGCTATTCTTGGCGCTCTCGACGACACCTTCCCTGTTATAACCTCTCTGCGCCCTCCCTCTACAGTAGTAATCTCTGTCCCCCCCCCCCCTCTCTCTCTCTCTCTCTCTCTCTCTCTCTCTCTCTCTCTCTCTCCCTCCCTCTATCTCTCTCTCCCTCTCTCCCAAGGTAGGATAACAAACGAAAAAGTTCCCTACTTGTAACATGAATTAGGCTACTGTAGCCTATATATTCTTCTTCTTCTTCTTCTTCTTCTTCTTCTTCTTCTTCTTCTTCTTCTTCTTCCTCCTTTTTTTTTTTGCCCACGGATGACGACAGGCTAGGCCTTCTCAGTTCAAGCCGTGTATCCCGGACGATTGGCTCCGGCATTGAGGGCCGGGGTCTATACGTTCTTACTCTCTCTCTGACCGTCTAGGCCGGGGTGGACGACCTTATCTTGATAAGCTCGCCTCGAGACCGGTCCTTATCTTATCGAGGATCAATGTGAAAAGCGGCGATAGGCAGGCAGACGTTCTAATACTAATACGTATACAGGAGATGGAACATTTCTGCTTTACGTTTTTGCGTGCCGATAGTGTAATAGTAGTGTGTGTAGTGTATAGCCGTCTAGTCTGTCCACAGAATTCTACACTTACAAGTGTAGAATTCTGTGAGTCTGTCTAATCTCCTAGCCTCTTCATTGTTTCATTCAGTCCTCTTGGGTGTACACGTTTTTTTCGTTCGGATGTATTTTCACTACACTCAATTCTAAGGATTAAATTTGTGCTCATACTATCTGTTTTAGTGTTCAGCCCAGATTCTAGTTTTCTTTCATCTTGAATGTTATCGTTAAGTTGACTAGAATCTACTGTTTCTGTGAAAAAGTTTTCAGCTGACGTCTCAGTTTCAGCGCAATGAACCGTGTGAGCAACATTTGAACATGGGAAGAAAATGTAGGGGATGGGGTAGTAGAAGTGGTTATGCCCGCCAAAAGGGAGATGCAAAATAACAATAATATAGATTTCCAAAAGATTCGGAAAAAGCACAGTGGATGGTAGAAGATGTCACGGATTATAATATATATAATAATATGGGAGTTTGCTCTCTGCACTTCAAACATGATGTACCTTTGACACGGGCTGGAAGATTTATGGTGCCCATAGAGTCTCCAACAATATTTCCAGAAGTACCACCATCATGTTGTGGCACACCAGCTCCAAAAAGAGAGCAACTACAACAAGTTTAGATTCTTCTAGAGCTGCTGGTATTGATAATATACATTTAAAGAAAGAGATGTCTTCAAGTTCGATTCATTTTATCAAACAAGGGATATGACGCTGACAGCCATTGGCAATGTTGCAAAGAGTAAAGATTACTATAATACATTTGTCTTGCTCAGCAGAACTCGAGATTGCCCTGTTTTTGCATTTTCCATGCTTTTTACTTTTGTTCACCATACCCATGACCATATGAAAGAGGTTTCATTTGAAGTTGAAGCTTCACAAACTGAAGCACATCTGGCATCCTGGCTTCACTAGAGATGTTGTCACATGCTAGAGTCAGTTAGCCTAGATGAAATTTTGCACTTCGTGTGTAACCTTCCAGAGAGACATTGTTGGCCTACACTACTACTTGTTGAGTAGGGTTGTTTTTTGGTTTTTTTTAACGGAAGCCACTGAAAAACTGTGCAGAAACTGATTAGTAGCAATTTTGTGGGACTTCCCAGCGATATTCCATCTTGATATATTGTTATCGTAAGCTGATGTGGCTGGCAAATATCTTCATGGAAAGATTTTCGGAGAGTAACTTTTTTTTCAGAGGTAAGGGATTGTGTTCAGTTATGCTTAGCATATTATATACATACATACATATATATATATATATATATATATATATATATATATATATATATATATATATATATATATATATATATATATATATAAATATATAATATATATATAAGTTCCCCCACTAGTGTGTCACGATCTTTTTTGTGGTAAAATGCAAACGTAATTCATTTTCATGTTGACGAATTGATACTCTGTCACTGGTGAGATCTTCTTTTGTTATACGAGCCGATAAACTCTCACAAAAAAGCTGCAACAACAAAAATGCATTGCATTTAAGTTAGTTTCGTTATAGGCCAGTCTAGTGAATACAGTGCGACAATGCTCCATCACCCGCACCAACGCACTAGTCTATCGCCGTTTTTCGCATTGACCCTCCGGGAACGTGGTAGGCCTCCAATGCCGAGGCCAGTCGTGCGAGCTGTATGGCTTGGAACTGAGAAAGCCTAGCGTCAGGTCAATTTCCGAGTATGGAGGCTTTAAAAAAATTATTAATCGAGTGCCGTATTTGTCTGTCTCGCCAGGACGACGTCTTATTCATCTCAGCATGGTTTGGCCCTATATATGATTGCCAGGGCCACCTAAGAACATTGTATTCAACTATGATACAATTACCACAACTGTTACGACCCGGCTTAATCACACACTCCTGAATTCAATGTTTGGTATTCAGAAAGGTTAATTTAATTTTATGCTTCTATTACTTCATTGATTTTATCTTTTATTCTTCCTCCAAATATACCCCAGATATAGACCTCAAAGACAGACGGCAGCAGCAGCTGCGCAAGGCCACTTCAACCGACAGTGCAACAGATTTTTATTTGTAAACCTACATGATAATATGTAGGGGGCGGAGTAGCGCCAGTGGCTCAGTTAGTAGTGAGTTAAGACTCAATCAAGTAGATCTAATGTCAAGCAAGTGTCGGTAACACGTGGACCAGATGGGGGGTCACTGGGGTGTGTCCTTGAGCAAGACACGACAACCCTGGGTATATAGATACGAGAAGACTGAGCCAAAAACGTAATCCTATAGGTATAGACTTCAAATAAGGTTTATATGAGGTGTTGGAAGACTGAGCCAAATTTAGATATCGGTTTTATCATTTTCTACATCTTTGGTGGTAATGGTAGACATCGATGACACAGCTCTGCATACGAGTTTATTTGCAATATTTGGTCGCTCACTCGGCTGTTCTGTTGCTTTCCTTTTTAATATCGTCCGGGCTTCCAGCATTTCCTTTTCATGTTTTGATGGAGGTTCGTTATTATTTTGGCTCCTTTTATGCACAGCAGTGTGGTTGACATCGGTGATGATAGTTGCACTGCAACTCCTGTTTGTGCACCTCCACATAACGGAATGCTTGTTGAGTGATGCAAGTCTAATAAAATAAAATCCATTGTCGATAAGAAATTTTCGTCCCCACTCTGTGGTAAAAGTCTCCAAGTCGAATGATGTCGAATGAATGTGAAAATAAGTTGCAAGATCCAGTTGTCACTTGTCAGATTACACATTAATTGTGTAAGACGCAAATCTACTCAGCCAACTGTGTTGTTTGTGTCCTTGATATGAGGAGCATGTACTGCAAACATGTTTTTTTTCTTCGTAAAAACCATATGTTTTCAGTGAACATACATAAAACAGTTGGCTACATGGTGCGTCTTTTTTTTTAAAGAAAAAAGTCCTCGCGATTCAAAACAAAGTTAGACTACGCGTGTGGGTAAGACTGACTTTCAGATTCTACGAGTTGTTATGCAGCTCAGTGTAATGTTTGTTTTGTGCATTGGAATCCTGTTATAACGAGAGAGAGAGAGGGGATCGGAGCCAAATGTCCGTTATAGCAGGATTCTCGTTATAAGGGACCCAGTAATAAATTCAAGGGAAATAGTAAAGTAGGCCTAATCTATAAGTCTGGTTTTCGGTTTATTTCTTTTTGTATCTCCCCTGATGGTGATTTTGCTCAACATGACCTTTAAATCTTACTTGATCAAAGTTCGAATCGGGTTTCTTTCTCTGACGCTAGCGATGTTGACAGCTCGGTGTTGGCGATCAGAAAGGAAGTTTTCTAGGCTAACTCATCCGCTGTATTGTCCCCCACCTCACCACGCCTTGTGGTGCGTTCCGAAGTCTTGTGCACAATGGGAACATACCACACCCCGCCCACGTCACACATTCGCTCCGTCCCTCACAGTACGGCATTGTGACCTCTCCACACCCGCATCGGAGAAGTGAGAGGCATGGTAGGCCTAGATAATCTAGACTAGGCTGGCCTGCACGCGATGAGTTCTGCTTGTCTGTGCATGCCACACACCCCCCACTCATTCGCTCCGGCCTCAAAGAGCTAAAACAGTACTTTTAATCTCATTGTCCGGCCTTCATTGTTGACACACGTGGGCTCTCCCATTCTTTGTTTCTCTAGTTTACCAACAAGTTTCTCAACTGGCGAGGTTCTGCGTTATGTACAATTGGCCTATGCGCTGTGCACAGCAGCAGCTACATTCCGCTATAAACCCACTTGCGTGTTAGTCGGATTGCGTTTATAGTAGCGTATTATATTTACAAAGACAAAGAAGGGAAAAAACGGGGTTTTAGAATAGTGTTTTTATAACAGACTTCTCGTTATTTCAGAACTCGTTACAAGTGGATTCCACTGTATTTTAGGCAATTTAGGATCCAGGATCGATCCTTTGAAGTAAAAAGTTATAATTGATACCAGCAATTCAATTTGGCTCAATTTTCCAACAAGGGTTGGCGGCTAAAAAATTTATTACGAAATGTTAACAAAACTGCCGTTTTTTGGCCCAGTCTTCTGTACCTCGACAACCCCAGCTCAAAATACAGGGAGCTGCATAGTGGCGACCGACTGCACAGCAGCACGGTTGTTGTTCTGTATTTGTGTAATGTTGTGTATTTATGTATGCATTTATGCATGTATTTATGTATGTACGTATTTATAATTGTGTATTTAAAGTATGTATACATGTATGTTTGCCATTGTAACGCAAAGTGCCCTTCTGGGACAAATAAAAGTGTAATTTATTTTTACTATTATTATTAATTGTACATTATTATAAAATACCCCCCCCCCCCCCACTCTACATGTGTCCATCATCTTCAAGCAATAACATAACTATCTTCGTTTGAAAGACTCACTTAAATTTAAATTATTATTCATGCTGGTAACATTTTCCAGAAGACACTCCTTGACCTTGAGTAACTTGCACCGTTTACCCAGCCGGGCGGTGCGCGATGATCCGCCCATAGATTCCGTTGTTTCTCCAAAAGATTATTTACTAAAACTAAAATACATGTATATTTATAAAAATTCCGGTAGGGGCCTACTAATATTTCGAAAGAGGTAAAGGCACTGACCACAAAATTATAAATATGTTCTTTACAAACATTATATAATTTGGGTTAAGTAAATTAAATGCAGAAATTACGATAACCCCTTCACTCGTGTTAGGGCAAATAGGTCAACATAGTTTTTAAATACAACGTATATTATAAGAATCCTGATTGATTTCTCCGAAAAAATGAATTCACGAGCAGATCTAAAAAAAGACAAAAACGTGTCACGTGAACATGGTCATATGATCACACAGGGCAACAAAAATGGCTTCCGCGATGCTTGCAGCAAACTCACAGCGCTATCAAGGCAAAGTGACTATTGTTACTGGGGGCTCGGCCGGCATTGGCTTTGGTGTTGTCAGTGTATTTGGTAAGCATTTTGATAATCGTGTAATGGCAAAGTAATTGTGCTCCTTATGCTTCATCAGTGTTTTGACTGGATCTCAGGTCACTCAGGCTCAGGCTCAGGATATGGAAGTGGCTATTCTCATCCAGGGACCTCTCACCCCAGGTGAGACTTGCCACCGTAGGCTATTCTAACCCGGTTTGAAACAAGACCTGTTTCTCCTAATTTCGGAATACTTTCTATCGATGTGGATGATCAAATGGATAAAGGCAAAGATAAGATTACGTTATAGCACAAAAGTAAGCTAATTTTATCGACTACAAAGATGCTATGGGCACTATGGCTATTTCACTTTTCGAATCGAGCCGAACAACGGGGGTTGCCATTTTGTTTTGCCCGGAAGTTCTCGCAAGATCAACTCCTCCACTCTTCTCTCTCTCTGTCTCTTTCGGAATACTTTCTATCGATGTGGACGATCAAATTGACCAAAACAAAGGTATTTTTTTACTTTCCCTCCCGTCTCACACTCAGCTACCAGTTGTCTATTTTCTACTAAATATTGATGCGCTGAACATGAATATCAACTTCATTTCCATCGCAAATTAATATTTTTTGAAATATTTGATTGTTTTTAACCGAGATAGACATGCTTTGGACCAATCGGGGGGGTTCTAGGGGGGCCTGCCTCACTGGGGTAAATAGTGGGGTCCCTTAATGGCGAAAATTAGGTGTATGCTGCACTTCATGTTAGAGACATACTGTAAGGTGCATATGTCTCCTAAGACAATTACCTTTCAAATAAGCAAGGGATCCATGATGATCCTTGACCGGAAGTGGGTGTGGCCAGCTGTCAAAGTAGGTCACTATAATTTTTCTCAGTCTACTCACTAGACCACTACATTATATTGTCAACAAATATCCAGATACAAAAGGAGAACTCAAAATGTAAGATTTCTGTCTATCATTCACGAATGATAATGAAAAATACATTTGGCATATAAAAATGGCAAAAATAGGGTCTAATAATATTTCATGTAATGAGGTCACGCCGACATACTACTACTAGGCCAGTAAAAATTGACATCGAACCCGGACTTAAAAGATAACAGCCAAATTTTTGGGCCAACTTGAACTTTGAGCTGTTAAGTATTAACCCTTAAGATTCTGGTCCCTGATAAATGTTTGCCCGATAAGCGCAATCCCGCGCGGCGCTCCACAGCTGGTCCCTGATCAGTCGTCGTTCCGCGCAGGCAACGCATTTCGTTTACGGCGGAGTCTGCATCTGTGCGCTAAAATGTGTGCGTGTCAATCTGCTTGTGCCTGAGTGTCCATCTCAAACTTACTGCATTGTTTTGCAACGCGAGACGTTGGTAGAGATAACAGAGCGTCGGTTGAGACGTTCATCCAATGAAATATGAGCATTTTGACCCAGTTAGACATTTGAGGGACTCGAAAGGATATTCAGGGAATAGGACTTTCATCTTTCAATGCAAACACCTTTCCTTACTTTTCAAACGATCTAATTCTTACACCAAACGTTGTTTCCTGATGTAAATAATCATATTTGGTGGTTTTTGAACCATTGTCCTACCAGAGGGAGACATTTGAGAGCAACTGAATAAAATTTTTTTGGGGAAATTATCCCATTTTTCCCCCCTTTCGAACGATAGCTGATAAGCAGCTGTTCGCAAGTTCATTCATAATAGGTGTGAAATCTGGAAAACTCTGGAAAAGTTATTCGATTTGGTGTAACTTCCAATCTCAGCGTCTCTGATCTACCGACGAGGGGATAATGGGATTATTCGTGTGATCGTAACACTTATTCATTGATCGTATCAGTTTGCTATAAAAGATGAGGTGTTTCCCTGACCTGCCGCGGCACGCTCGCGTGACCAGTGCCTGACCCCGGCGCCCCACGGCACAAGCCCGCAGGCGACGTAAGTGGGTCATCGATCGATAAGAGCCCTCTTCCGGTTAACCCCGCAGGACTAGAGTTAAGTACTACCCAAAAAAATTCAACCAAAATCGCCCTTGGGGAACATGCTTAATTTTAACCTAATAAAAGTCAAAAAGGTCAATTTTCGAATTTGTTAAAAGATGTCATTTATTTGTTGAGAATGAAAGAGATAGTCAAATGAAACACAGAAATACTTTTATTTTTAAAAGTGACCCATAGTTATCACTTAATTAGCATTTAAAGATTATAAAGGAAGAGGCTAGCCGTACTTAATGACGGCTAGACTGGCAGTCTAGCCGTACTTAAGTACGGCTAGACTTACAGTCTAGCCGTACTTATTCTTAATAATATGATGGCTAGACTGACCATTTACAAAAAATAGGCCTACTGAATTGTAAATATACATTTTTAGTGTGCAGTACCTAAAGTATTTGTATTTGAGACAAAACCAGGTTCCTTAATAACAGTGCATGTATTTTAAACCTCCTGTTTTCTAATGTAAATAGGGCCTAAGATAAGTACGGCTAGACTGGCAGTCTAGCCGTACTTAAGTACGGGTAGACAGCCAGGCTAGCCGTACTTAAGGACGGCTAGACTGTCAGTCTAGCCGTACTTAATATTGATGGCTGAATTGTAAATGAAAATTTTAGTTTGCAATGCCTAAAGTATTTGTATTTCAGACAAAACCAAAAGGTGCCTTACTGACTTGCATGTATTTGAACCTGAATAATAACTAGATCTAGATCTCATGAGACCTGTGTACTTAACAGGATTGAGTCGATTGGGCCAAACCTAGATCTAAGTACGGCTAGACTGGCAGTCTAGTACGGCTAGACTCTCAGTCTAGCCGTACTTAAGTACGGCTAGCCACTTCGGATTATAAAAGGTCAAGGTCATTGTCAAGGTCATCTTAAAAATATAGGGAGTTCAAATATGGTCGTGTTTGGTATCAAATTCAACATCTCAACAAGAAAAACACAGAATTTATGTTGTTAATGCAATTAACTTACATTTAAGTTACCTATTGGCGATAACACATGATTGAGATAATAATAATATACGTTTTAAAACAAAAAGATATGGTGAGATCATATAAAACCTCAAAAATAAATCCTTGTTCGATCATAGCATGCAGCTCGGCTTTTGTATGCCAAGCTTCAGGAAAATTCTTTGGTAAACATGGGAAGATAATTAAAAATAGTAAAATTAGGGCGAAATAAGACCTTTTCATGATTTCACATTTGGAACTCCCCACTTCCATTGTTTGAGTAATGGTTATAAGTGTATGACTTCTGCTATGTATGGGTTTCCTTCCTCTAGACTGGTTGCTCTGAAGAGCTATAGAGTCTTTCCTACCCTTGTTACTTAAGAACAAGTCTGTTTGCGTTGATTGGTAGAGAGCCAGTCCCCTTCCACTCCATCCGTGTCGTGGGCCAGGCACACTCAATGTGTAAACTAGAAGATACTGAGCTCGGCGGTTCCTTCACTAGGCCCAATTTAAATTGTGTCCGTTTCTGAAGCTTTTCATACTGTCCTCTGCAATGACAATGTATTCTGCAAGGGATGTTGTACTTGCAGCAAGTACAGGATTTGCATGGTGGAGTGCTGCTCTTACACGAACAGCGGATTTCACGTAGCAGTTCATCTGGGGCCGGAGCATTGTCAGTTATCACCTGACTCATAATGTTTTCACTCACAGTAAAGTCGTAATCAACAACGTCAAAGACAGTGCGTAGATTAAGCCATTTACTAACCTGGTGATGCACTCTAAGGGTTTGGTATTGTGCGGCTCTCTCTTTTGGGGCCATCCGTTCAAGTGGCACGTACTTTGGGGAGATGATATGTTGATATCGAAGATCAGTAAGGCTCAGGTTTGCGGTCCACTGCAGTAAAGGAATGACAAGAACTTGACTCCTAAGTCTGTGATGTCCTTTACATTGGCATCTGTTTGCCTCCAAAGTAGAGCTGTCAACTGTCCTTTTCTTCCAGTGACGACCCTAAGAGTCGCATCAATGCTTGCTTATTCTGAAGATTGGTAGGGAATGAATCTTTGTCAGTCCACAGATTTGTGCTGTGATGAAGATCAACGACTGGATGTGGTGTGTACGTAGTCTTTCTTCTCTTTTGCTCAGGTGCTTTGGTAGTTATAGTTTCATAACTGTCAAAGACGACACAAAGTCGAATAGCTGGCGTTCTGTTGTGGAGCAAACAGTTGACGAATGGCTGACACAATGTTTCCACTGTTCCACCCTTTATCCAGTTTAGACGATGAAGGATGTGGATGCCATCATACACCAGATAATGAGGCTTGTTGTTGACATTATTTACAACAAAGTTTTGGGACGTGTTAATGATGTGATTGGCCAGGAGAGATTCGTTCGTCTTCCTCATACTCCCGTTGTCGTGAAATAAGGCAGGAGCCACAGGTGAAAACTAATACTTGAATAAAGAAGATTCAGGCCATTGAAAGCAGTCGCTGGTACATCTCAGATGACATATAAAGATATTGTCGTTCAGGATTTGCACGGGTCTACGCATCACCTTGAATGTGACAGCTTGGTCACTTTTTAAAAAAGGAAACCTTGCCATAGCACATACCAGTCATTTCAGCATGTACTTTCCTGCCAATCGAAAGTGCCTCTTTAACGTTTACCCTGCTATCGGCGACCACACCAGCTTTAGAGATATTAATTAAAGTTCCTTTCTTTTCCCTCTTTTTCCTTGCAGCAGCCTCCAGGCTGTCTGGGAAGTACATATATCCCATGCCACATCAACTCTTCTCACACCCTATAACTGCCTTTGAATGTAGGGTTCGAAAATGCTGGTTAAGTACTCAAGTAATGTCTCTGAAAGCTTTGTTCCATGCATCTGGACAATTGCAGCCATGTCAAGTACCTTGGCTTCAACTATCCAGCTTTCTTCAACAGTCGGCACTTGCAGAATCTCTGCAGCTGTTTCAAGGTCAGGTTCTGATGTGAAGTCTGCATATAAACACTTCAGATCAAACTCATCCTGCCCCAGGTCTGTGACGTCGAGCAGATCGTCTGGAATTGTGCAGAGATGGATC